TAATTGATAATCAGTAGCAAGTGCATTACGTTCCTCTACTTGTTTACCTCTTTCAAGTTCAATATTTTTTCACATCCTGAATTACTGAAAATATTTGGTGTTGGATAATGAAATCTTCTGATGTGTATAATGTTCTTTTCCGTTTACGTGGCTTAGTCATAACTTTCGGAACCAAATATGCTCTTGAAGCACAATGAACAGGAGTGTGTCTGACTGTTGATTTCCGATGCCTACAAATTAAACAGGTTCCTAACGAGTGGCTCACTAATAGTAATGTCAATAGATTCATGCGCACGTCAGTCAGCCATTTACAATGTAGAACTTCGTATGTACATACATAAGTTCTGGTTGCCATACGACATTATCACACAGAGGCGATTTTCAGTCCAAATCACATAGTGGTAGAGTTAGTAGAAGTATGAGCTGGAAACGAGAAGATTAGGGTTCGAAGACAATATTCAAGAAGTATGATTCAGTGAGATAAATTTAGAGAGAAAAAGAGAGAGGTTAATAGGAATTCAGATAACGAGAATTTCAGAGAACACGAAGAGTGGATGCGCCTGCATCACTGAAAACGATTCTGAGCCATGTCATTCAAGATCTCTAACCATCGGTTACTATCGCCACGGACCCCAAACAGGTAGTCTGCATCTACCAACACACCTTATTCCATTTGTAAGTGACTTCATGGATTTGTGCCATGCTTTCGATTGGCCACCGCTACCTTCCTTCCAACCTACTTCGACATCACAAAACATCGCTCGTAGAGACAATCGGCAGTCGGGCATACGTAACACATGTCCTAACCACCTCAATTGATGACGTTTCAGTGCTTCATCTATTTAAGTATGCACCTGTACAACAAGCCATATCAAATGAGGTACAATAAGATAGATGGCACGATTTACGACTGTTGCGTAGCAACGAACCACTAATGGTTGAGAACCAATGCAAGGTAAGTCCAGATCTGCATATAACATGAATCGATGATGTAAACGTGAAAAGGTCTTCTTAATGAGATTCGTCAGTTAGTAAATGTATAGGCTCATGTGTAAAGTAAGCAAGTCTTTTTCACTTGTCCAGGCTAATATATAAAGAGTATGATGAAGTGCTGGAAAAAGAAATAAAGAGAAAGGAGCGAGAAGCAGAATAGACAATATTCTTGTATACAGTTGAGTCATGACTCTGCATGCATTTTTTGAGATAAATCAAAGGTATGATCACTCATACCTTCCTTTCACTGTATTAGAACACTTATTGTACACCAGCACTTATTTAGGTAAATAAAGACATTTCACTAGTAAGATATCGAATGTGCAATTAACTGTATGAATATAGAAAACTCAGAAGAACTAAATTGTTAGAAATATTACCGATTTACAGATTATGATGATGAAGCACAGTGATCTGATGCTTTAGTGATATTTTATTTATTCGTTTTCTTTTTAACGCTGTAGCTCAAGAGGTCACGAGTGAGCTCTTTTTCTCCATAATTTTCTAGATCTGTTTGTAATAGGATTTCTTGGTAGGAAGTGAAACTAGTATCAGATTACAAACATGAGTCGTAGATGTGGTTGACTTGGAAAAGTAAATTCAATATCATTAATCAGTTACATACTGATATATCATAAGGTTCTGTAGGCATACAAAAAGTTGCCTGCTTTCAGTTGGAGATGAGGTAAAATGTAGGCTTATCATTTAGGGGAATGTTCTTGGGACTGCTGAGGTTAATTCTTAAAAGATCACTAAGTTCTAGGATAGTGGTGGTCAGGTGTTGCTGCACACTAGATCGTCTGAGAACTCATTGTCATCTGTGAGTGATGTAGGGTCGACTAATGTTGTGGGCACAGGCAAAATGTTTGAGTGACTAACTTTTCCAAAAACAAACGAAAGCACAATATACGTCTACGTGACAGTGTTTACAAATCAAAAGGCATATAGATATGAGGTAGTACGGATTTCACATAACAGCGAATACACACGAATGAGCTTGGTGATGATTTAATTTATTTGAATTAATGCTAATTTCTCTGCACCATCGATCGGCAACATTTTCATCGTTTAAGCTCTCCTAATTTTTAACGATTCTCTGACATCCGTATAAATATCTCTAGATTTAATTCGAAATATTAGAACAGATGAGAATCGAATGCCCGGTGTATTTTTTTTCATGTTGAATTTCATGCCTCCTCTTTTAAATGCCTTCAGCTAACTAGGCCGCTCAAGGAGATCCCATCGCTTCTAAAGATGTAGAGAAAACAGCCGTCATGAAACCTCTTATTCTTCCCTGGCTCAGAGCCAGGGAAGATCTAGTCATAGTTCCAGCGGACAAAGGACGCACGACAGTAATTATGGACAAGGAACAATATATTAAGAAAGCTGAGGAACTACTTGAGGATAGAAGCGTATATAAGCAGTCGACACAAACCTAATAAAAAAGTTGGACAACCTAATCTCAAGGACTCTAAACAGGCTTGTCAAAGCAGGACAAATATCAAAACAAGATCAATGGAGAATGAAATCCAATGGACCAGAAATCCCACGATTCTACGGTAGGCCGAAACTCCTCAAACCCAACATTCCACTACGCTCAAATGTATTCCTACCTGGAACCCCGACCTACAACTTACCAAGAGAAATTTCAAAGATATTAAAGCATCTGGTGGATGAATTCAACTACTCCATTAAGTCTGCCACAGAATTCTTGAATAAACTCAAGAGGATTCAAATTGACAACGACAAAATGATGATATCCTTCGACGTAACAGCCTTATTTACCTCAATGGAGCCAAGCTTAGCTAAAGAAACTCTTTCCCTGCTCCTCATCAACGACAAACGTCTGTACAAATATATACAGCTTCAGAGTCAAAGTCTGCTTGAACTCATCGATCTATGCTTAACAACGTATTTTCAATTCAACAACAGAGTTTACGAACAAACAAAAGGAACACCAATATCAGGACTCATCGCGGAATCTGTAATGCAGAGACTAGAAGCGTCGATTTTGCCAGTGATCAAGCCAAAAATATGGGTTCGCGATGTAGACGACACATTCGTTATTATCAAAAGGAATGAGCTGGAGAACATCTACAATCACATCAACAACGTCTTCGATGACATCGAATTCACGATGGAAAATGAATCAAACAACAGTCTATCATTCCTGGATGTACTAATCACCAGAACTAACACAAGAAAACTGGAAACTCAAGTATTTCGGAAGCCAACCAACACAGACGTAATTCTCAACTACCGTAACAACAACCCAAGAACCTGAAAAATCATCTGCATAAAAACTCCGTTCAAGAGAGCGAAGACACACTGCAGCACATACGAAGCACTAGAAAACGAGGAAAAACACCTTGCGACTATCTTCCGAAAGAACGGCTATCCACGCAACTTCATCAAAAAACATCGACCGAAATCGTCAACAGAAGAGAAATCAAATACAGGAACCAATCAACAGATCATCCTACCATACATAAAAGACATATTGGAGCATACAGCACGACTACTGAAACCATTTGGAATTGGTGTGGCACACAAACTAACAGAATCACTCCAATCAATCCTATGTAGACCAAAGGACAAAATGACAAGGAAGAAAAACCAAATATCATCTACAAAATAAATTGCTCAGACTGTGAAAAACACTACATAGGACAAAGTGGACGACCTCTTCAGCTCCGTTTACGTGAACATCAATTAGCAGTCAAACGCCACGACAACGCTTCGCTTATATCAATACACACCGACAATTATGGACACACATTTGATTGGAACAACGTGGAAATACTGGGTAGGGGGAGGACAAAGAACACTAGAGAATTTTTAGAAGCTTGGCACTCAGGTCAGTCAGCAATCAACAAACACATCGACATTGACCCAATTCATCAACCAATCAGAGAAACCATAGGTGACATAGGATCAAGAAACAGATCAAAACAAAGGTGCAAACAACCGATCAAGATCGAGGTTAGCAGAACAAGCTACAGGTCAAACGTGGAGAAATTCGAATGCTTCACTTCTATCTGAAGTTGGTGCTGATGATGTTGTTCAGAAGAAAAATGGAAGCTCCAAAACCAAAACATCCAGCTCAGAAAACCAAATGTCAACTGTACTTCAAGTTTCCAATGAGCTGTTGTCGTCTTTCTAGTTCCGTCGATCGCCAGCAGAAAAAGAAAGGGTGAGGGTAAGCAACCTCGCCTGACACTTATATTCACTTCCAAAGAGTCTGCCCGCTGTCCTCGATGCACGATTTCACAGTTTTGTCAATCTCCCACATTGTGCGAACACTCTATGTACCTAAATTAAATGTTACTCTAGTTGTCTGAAGAAGCAACAACGGCCTCGTGACTTCTGAAGGAATTCGGCTTTAATCATGAGACATCATAACTCTTCTAAATGAAGACCAAACTCCCAGGGCAGAGTTTTAATGGTTTGAATTATTTGTTTCAGTTACCGTTTTTTGAACGAGTTAGTTTTCTACGGGATGCGGTCAGGAAGCAAATGTCCAACCCTCCTCCTTATCTGCACTTGAGACCGTCAATAACGACAAGCAGAGTTAATAAGAAAAACATGAAAACAATATAGATGAACATTGGACATTCGCCTACAAAATAAAAGCTGTATCTTGTCTCACAATAGTTTAAACAGAACTAGGATTTTAGTCTTAATTCCGTTGGTATTCCCATGAATGCAAATTCACTTGTGAAATTCTCGTATTAAAACTATACTACTTATAAGTAATTAGGATTACTTCCACTTCTTGTTTTCCTATTTCAATAGTTTAGATCATATACTGATCTTAGTTAGAAACCGAAGAACACAGGATGGTGAGCACTTACAACCCCATATCCGATAGACAAACACAAAACCTTCGGTTTCATACAAGGATGCTTAAGCCCAAGACCATTATTAACCCTAGGATCCAATGATTTAACAAAAAATTGTAAATTAGCGTCAGTCTTCAATTCATTTTCTTGATTAAAATTTATAATCTTTGCACTAAATATTCAATAATTACTCAACTATTTCAAAATATTAAAATTTTATAAAAAAAAAACAAAAGGATATCACACTCGGGGAATTAGGAATTTACAAATAAGATGGAAGTTTGAAAGAATTATACATAATTAAACAGCCTACACAATATAACAGAAATTAAATTATTTACATGTTTGTTTACGTGTTTAAAAAAAATATATACTTGTGTACTATTTAAAGATTAGGAGAGTGTAAAATATGATTGTTTCAATATATATAATTTCTTTTTCCTAATCGAAATTATTTATCTTTTTTTTTTAATCAGATAATGCTTCATTTAAATCATTGATTGAATTCATTAACTGTTTACTCAATTCATCACATTGTGTTATTAAACCGGAGATTTGACTAGTTAATAAAACAACACTTTCAATCTGTTGAGATCCTGATAATTTTGTAGAGTCAAGTGTTGAATTTGTAGCCGTAGTAGTATTAGTAGTAATAGTAGTAGTAGTAGTAGTAGTGGTAGTTTTCTTTGGACTACTAAAAGGACTTCGAAATGTTGAACTAGTTGAATGTCGATTATTATTATTATTATTATTGATACCTTTTTCACGTGCTTGAAGTGTACCTAAGAGTTGAGAAATATCTCGATCAATCTATCACAATTAAATAATAAAAAGAAACAGATCAACACGAGTATAAATAAGGAAAATTTTCATTACAAATCAATTATTTGAATAAATAACTACAAAGGATGAATAATCAACTTATTAAGTTTTATTCGTCACAGATTGACCTCAACCGTAGTAGCATTGTGAACCAAGGAATATACTACACAATTCATTTAATCAGGAGCCTTGTGCAGTAGTAGGTAATTAACCAACAGATTACAGTGTTAACAACTGATGAAACATATTTTCAACTTCATAGCATGACGATCATTTAAACAAGTCTGCAATGAAATAGTCTTTACCAATGACATTCGATGATCGTTCAAAATCTATCGACAACTAAAGCGTACTCTGAAATGCGTGTCAATCGGTGTAAAACTAGTGAATCAATATCAAAGTGTTTCCATATACACATGGAGGTAGTGACTGTAGGAAGAAATAATAATCCGATCCTCAATTAGGGTCAGTGCATGATGAATACCACCTACATAAAAGCCTAATCTCATACTGAACCCCTTAGATCAAAACTAATCAGATTACTAATTTCTTCTTACGAAGATCATTTGGTTGGAAGATTTATCAGGAGGTCAGTATTTCAGTGTTCAAACTAAAACTTGAACATTGCACTCGTTGCTTAAAATATCGAAAAGGTATTCATAAATATGTAAGACATTTCAGAAGAAACTTCTAGCATTGGTTATTCTTCAAGAGTATTATTAAGAGTGCAATTCCATCAACATATACCAAATAAAACCTCAGATTAAAAACTCATGATTGCCAGAGATAAATTTATTAATAAACAACAGTAAACTTCAAAATCTAAATTTGATTGAGTTGTCCAACATGATTGACTAATTTTTTTTTTTTCACCACCATATACCTGAAACCGTACCGAAAGAACAAGAATCGAGCGCCAGAAATCAATCGGTTTACATTGGATCATGGAAAAGGTATTGGACATTGGACAGTTGGCAGGTTGAGCTGAACTTAATAACACGTGGCCTCGAGGTCAAAAGATATGTGGAAGATTATAAACGCAACATACCATTGGGAGATACTAACTAGGGACCTAATTAAGATCTTCGTTTACTCAGCCTTATTTACATAAAGGTTGATGTAACGTAAACCCATGATTTGTGTACCTCTTATTCAATTTACTAGACGCAGCTTAATAGTTATGGTTCTGCATTTTCGCTTGAATATCAAGTCGAACAGTACTAGTCTTCGATCATAGGTGTATCTGAAGCATTGCTCATGTATCCTGGGACAACCGAGTAAGCAATGCTGTCGTTAGGAAACGAGTTCTAGGTAAGGATGGAAGATCAGTAGATGATGTATTGAAGTAGTTGGGACATGTGTTACGTATGGCTAACTACCGACTGCCTCGACGAGCTATGTTTTGTGGTGTAGGAGTAGGTCGGAAGAAACCTAGGGGCGACCAGACCAAAACATGGAAGAAATCCATGAAGTCATTGACAAGTGGACTGAGTCATGTTGGTAGATGTAGGCTATCTGGTTGGGGTCCACGAGACGAAAGTCACCAATGGTTAGAGACCTTGGACGATATGGCTCAGAATCGTTTGCAATGGCGTAGGTGCATCCACTCTTTGTGTTCCCTCTAATTCTAACCTTCTGAATTCCTCATAATCTCTATCTTTCTCCTTCTAAATTTATCTCACTGAATTATACGTTTCGAATCATATCTTCGCTCCCTAATCTTCTCCATTGCTGCTAATAATTCTACTATCACCATAACTCTTGGATTTGAGCTGACAGTTACGTCTCTGTGCTGACGTGGTATGGCAACCTAAACTGATGTACTTACGTACGAAGTTCTGCGTTGTATCTGTCTGTCTGTCTGTCAAGTTGAGCACACGTGTATTATGTGCATCTGAATCGGACGACAGTAAAATGTAACGCTAATACACAGTATCAAGAAAAAAAACACTAAACCAAAACATGTGAAAAACAATTTCAATAACTAATGTAATTGAAAAGTGAAAAAAAATTTATACTCACTTTATTTTGTATAATGACTAGATCAGATTGCTTTTGTGACAATTCAGTAGTATATTTATACAAATATTGCTCATACATTGATGACATTTTCACCAACTGTTTTGTTGAAAAAGAGGAAGAAGATTCAAAAATTTGTGAACAAAATATCAGGGAAATGATATGAATGAAATATCAAGAAAAACAATAACAACATTCAAGATAATCGTAACAAAAAGGTACAAAGAACGCTTAAGTATATATATATATATATATATATATATATATATATATATATACTCCAACTCCGCCAGTAGAACCTTAGGGGCTACTGCCGGTCCCAAGCCCGGATAAAGGAGGAGGGTTGGACATGGGGTTGGCGACCCCATTCCGTTGAAATCTAACTTGCCAAAAAAACGCTAACCAGAAAAATTAATTCAAACCATTTTAACTCTGCCCTGGGAGTTGCAAGAAGAATTATGACGTCTCGTGATGAAAGCCAAGTTCCCTCGGAAGTCACGGGGCCGATGCCTCTTCTGACAACCAGAGCAACCATTTTTTAGGTACATGGAACGTTCGTACATTGTGGGAAACTGGAAGACTATTTCAAGTTGCGGCAGAAATGAAAAGATACAACCTCGAGGTGCTCGGCATCAGTGAAACGCATTGGACACAGGTTGGACAACTGAGACTTGCTTCAGGGGAACTGCTGTTATACTCTGGTCATGAAGAGGAAAACGCTTCACATACACAGGGAGTTGCACTGATGCTGTCCAAACATGCACAAAAGGCACTGATAGGATGGGAATCTCATGGACCTAGGATCATCAAAGCATCCTTCAAAACAAAGAAACAGGACATTACAATGAACGTCATCCAATGTTATGCACCTACCAATGACTACAATGACGACGTTAAAGATCAATTCTACGAAAGGCTGCAGTCAATCGTCGAGAAATGTTCACCAAAGGATTTAACGATTCTTATGGGAGACCTGAATGCCAAGGTTGGCATAGACAACACTGGATATGAAGACATCATGGGACGACATGGACTGGGAGAAAGGAACGAAAATGGTGCGAGATTTGCAAACCTATGTGCCTTCAACAAACTGGTCATCGGTGGCACAATATTCCCACACAAACGCATTCACAAAGCCACATGGATTTCACCGGATCACACTACTCAAAACCAAATTGACCATATCTGTATCAACAAAAAGTTCAGAAGGACCATGGAGGATGCGAGAACCAAGAGAGGAGCTGATATAGCTTCAGATCACCATTTGCTGATCGCCAAAATGAGGCTGAAACTAAAGAAGCACTGGACAACGGGACAGACGACATCGCACAAGTTTAATACGGCCTTTCTTCGGGATACTGTAAAGCTCAACGAATTCAGGGTAGCCCTCACCAATAGGTTCCAGGCCTTTCAGGATCTACTCAATGGAGAGGACGCAACATTGGAGAACAATTGGAAAGGGATTAAGGAGGCAATCACTTCAACATGTCAGGAGGTCCTTGGTCGCAAGAAGCACCATCACAAGGAATGGATCTCTGTTGGTACTCTTGAAAAAATAGAAGAAAGGAGGAACAAGAAGGCAGAAGTGAATGTCAGCCGAACAAGAGCAGAGAAAGTTAAGGCACAAGCTGAATACACAGAAGCAAACAGGGAAGTGAAGAAGAGCATCAGAGCTGACAAACGAAAATATGTGGAAGATCTAGCAATGACGGCGGAAAAGGCTGCAAGAGGCGGAAACTTGAGACAATTGTACGAAACAACAAAGAAGCTCGCCGGAAACTATCGTAAACCAGAACGACCAGTGAAAAGCAAGGATGAGAAAATAATCAGCAACACTGACGAACAGCGAAATAGGTGGGTAGAGCACTTTAAGGAACTATTGAATCGACCAGCTCCACTGAACCCACCCAACATCGAAGCAGCATCCACGGACCTCCCAATTAATATTGGCGCACCTACGATTGAGGAGATCAGTATGGCCATCAGACAAATCAAGAACGGCAAAGCAGCAGGACCAGACAACATTCCAGCAGAGGCAATGAAAGCAGATGTAGAAGCAACTGCGAAAATATTTCACATCCTCTTCAAGAAGATTTGGGATGAGGAACAAGTACCATCAGATTGGAAAGAAGGATACCTGATCAAAATACCAAAGAAAGGCGACCTGAGCAAGTGTGAGAACTACAGAGGCATCACTCTTCTTTCAATACCAGGCAAAGTCTTCAACAGGGTATTGTTAAACAGAATGAAGGACTTCGTAGTCGCCCAACTTCGAGATCAACAGGCCGGATTTCGTAAGGATCGATCATGTACTGACCAAATTGCTACATTACGGATCATTGTGGAACAATCACTTGAATGGAACTCACCACTCTACATCAACTTCATCGACTACGAGAAAGCATTCGATAGCGTGGATAGGAAAACACTGTGGAGGCTTCTTCGACACTACGGTGTGCCTGAGAAAATAGTCAACATCATATGGAATTCTTATGATGGATTCAACTGCAAAATCGTGCACGGAGGTCAGCTGACAAACTCGTTTGAGGTGAAGACCGGTGTCAGGCAAGGTTGCTTACTCTCACCCTTTCTCTTTCTCCTGGTCATCGACTGGATTATGAAGACGTCAACGTCTGGAGGGAAGCACGGTATCAACTGGACAGTTAGGACGCAGCTGGACGATCTGGACTTCGCAGATGACCTGGCTCTTCTATCGCACACTCAACAACAAATGCAAGAGAAGACGACCAGTGTAGCAGCAGCCTCTGCAGCAGTAGGTCTCAACATACATAAAGGAAAGAGCAAAATTCTCCGATGCAACACAACATGCACCAATCAAATCACGCTTGATGGAGATGCTTTTGAGGACGTTAACAACTTTACATATCTTGGCAGCATCATCGACGAGAAAGGTGGATCGGATGCAGATGTGAGGGCGCGGATTGGCAAAGCGAGGGTTGCATTTCTACAGTTGAAAAATATCTGCAACTCCAAACAACTTTCAACCAAAACCAAAATCAGGATTTTCAATACAAATGTCAAGACAGTTCTACTGTATGGAGCCGAAACATGGAGAACTACGAAAGCCATCATCCAGAAGATACAAGTGTTTATTAACAGCTGTCTACGCAAAATACTTCGTATTCGTTGGCCAGACACCATCAGCAACAACGAACTGTGGGAGAGAACAAGTCAGATTCCAGTGGAGGAGGAAATCAGGAAGAAGCGGTGGAAGTGGATAGGACACACACTACGAAAAGCACCAAACTGCGTCACAAGACAAGTCCTCACATGGAACCCTCAAGGCAAAAGGAAAAGAGGAAGGCCAAGGAACACACTACGCCGAGAAATAGAGAAAGATATGAGAGGAATGAACAAACATTGGACAGAATTGGAGAGGGAAGCCCAGGACAGAGTTGGTTGGAGAAAACTGGTGAGCGGCCTATGCTCCATTGGGGGTAACAGGCTTAAGTAAGTAAGTAAGTAAGTAATATATATACTCCACTAATCTATCACACACTACTTTCACTACAATCAAGCCAAAAGGTAACGGGGAATCTCACGCTGTGCAAACATTTTATGCAGAAGAACATTGCGAAACGAATAAAAATTAATTATAGTGGCTAATCGTTAACGAGTCATTCATTACGGAATATGAATTTGGAATGGTTGTTGATAGCGTTGTTAAAGCTGATATTTAATGCACGAATAAGTGACTATATGAAATTAGTAGTTAAGTAAATAACGATTCCACTGATTCAAATATTGGATTGAATATCAACTGCAGGATGCCGGGTATATCCAAATGATGAGTTCTGAATGGAATGAAATTCACGTTCTGAATTCCACTGCTAGCTAAATTCTATCTATTCTTACGACAAACTATATGTTGGATTGCGAATGTGTACTGTTGAGAATTCGCAAATAAAAATAAAACAAAACCATGACCACATTTAGTCTATAATGAATAACGTTTCAACTGGTATTAAGGTGGTGAAAAAGACAGTAAATTCGACAGCGTTCATAAAATCCTCCAAGATCGAAAGTCTATTCTAAACCAAGTAATTATTTCCATATTGTTATCGCTGCATAGGCAACACTTTGAATCTTTGTGGTGATTTCATCAGACACTCACTAATGAAGGCGTCACAAGACAAGCCCTCACTTGGGATCCTCAAAGCCAAAGCAACAGATGAAGACCAAAAAACACAATAAGCCGAGAAATGGAGACAGATATGAGAAGAATGAACAACTATTGGACAGAACTAGAAAGGAAGACACAGGACAGAGTAGGCTAGAGAATACTGGTCAGTGGCCTATGCTCCACTAGGGGTAACAGGCGTAAGTAAGTATGTAATGTGACCATTCAACTAAAGTATATGGATGTGACAGTTTTAATCTGTCTAGTTACATTGAACAAGTCACCTTAGTGTTTGTCTGTGTTGACAGCTGACCATTACTGCTGGGCTTATTGCCTTCAATGTGCTCTTTTTTTAATCTAAGGTAATTATTTCTTATTCTTGGACCATTTACCATTCACATGTATGCAAATCAAAATGTTAGTTGAAACAGATATAGTTGGATCTGATTTCAATCAACACCCTTCCTCAGATGTTTCATCTCAGTAGATCTAACAGCGATCTTTTCACATTGCAAATAGTAGTAATATATCATCAATTATACTTAGAGAAAGATGAAATTCATTCATAGAATAATAGTGAAGTATATGTTGATAAATTTATGGTAATTATTATCAATAAATTTCATAATATAAACATTTTCCCATAGTGGATAATTATTGATAAATTACCGCTTCATAATTGAACTCTGGAAGATTTGGAATAAACTGTTTCTTTTTAACTGATGTTGATGTTGATGATGAAGATGATGACACTGGTTGAGAAGTTGAAGTGTGTGATTGATTTGCTATTGTTGTTGAATGATACTGTACTTTCATTGTAGTTAAAAGCGGTTCAAATGTAGAAATCCGTTGAAGTTTTTTCAATAGAACTCGATCTAATTCTGTATGATTAACGGTAACGTCGTTGCTGTTGTTATTGTTGGCATCATCTCTACTACCACCTAAATCATAATAACTTGAAGTGTGTCGACCAGGATTGACAATCAGTATACCGCTACCAGTTTGTTTGTGTTTAATTATTGAGGATGATTTATTAAATGTGGAATTATTTAATGATTTAGTTGAATAGGATCTTTGAGATCGATTTAAACCCTGTTCAATTGATGTTGATGATGATGCAGAAGTATCTTTTGGTAGACTTGATATAGAATTTCGTTGTTGATGTTTTTGCTTAGAAGAAATTCGCATACTACCATAATTGTTACTGTCGTTAGTCTTATCCAAATACGATGTACCAACGAATGCTGATAATGATGAACGACGCCAATCATATTGAGGCGAAGAAGGTAGAGATGAAGTATGACCTAAGGAAAAGAGATTAGCAGATTCACGAAATGTACCACGTTCGTTAGGAAATATAAAATTATAAACAATTTCTAACTTGAGAAAAAAATAAATAATTCCGAATGAGTACATTTACCTTTAGTATACCAAGAATGGATGTTAACAGAATCAAAACAATAAAATGTCGACAGACAAAACTAACCATAAGAAAATGATATCAAGAACACACGAGATAGCAGAGTAAAATGCATGTGACAATTGTACACTCAAGATTTAGAAGGGAAAAAAACTGAATGATTTTGCTTAGAGATGATCTACTGTGAGTCACGTCACCTAGTATCTCAACCACTGATTAATTATCCTTATTGAACTGATCATAGACACATAATATGCAACTCCTACTAGGGTGCTTTTTGTATCGTACCTTTTTTCGAGAGGTCGTGAGGTCAGACAAACAGACTTTCAGACTTCGTTCAATATCAACACTGGCAAGACTACGAGGTGCTGTTGCATCTCAAGACAAAGGGAAGGTTTATCACGTTGATAGAAAATGGGAATCAACTGTGAAAATAGAATTAATATTTAGTGACAGAGATAGTGTTTGATTATGAACGAGGTGATTTGCGTGGTGTTAGAAGTATGAGGGTAGTTGTTACCCGTACCGTGGATGGATATTTCATCTTAAGGACTGGTAGTTGTCGTACCGACATGACCGAAGAGCACAAAGGACAAGTGTTTGAGGCCGGACACAAATAACTTTACTATGAGACGTTTGTAGTATCTTATATCTGCACTTTCGAGTGATCTTACCCAGGGACGGAAATCCACGGATTAAGGTAAGACAGTTTAAAGACCAACTGTTTTTAACTACTTTATCACGTTATTAGAAGATAGTATCGCTTGAAATGCTGATGTTACTTTACTGACTTGCGAATAAGACTTTTGGGTTAAGAGTACGGAAAATATCCTGCTCCGTTGTACTAATGTTTGTGTTTAAATAAATAAATACAACTTAGAATGGCTGTTTACGCTCGTAGACAATTTCAGATTATGTAATCAGCTGATTTTTTTCACTTAACATACTTGAATTTTTTACGAGTGTTTTAGTTTCATCTTGGTCAGTCAGTTATTTTGAATTAAATAAAAAACGATTAACACTATCGATGAATAGACGGTTATCCATGAACCTACATTTTTAACAAATTTCAAATCATTCATATTTATTTCATTAAGAAAGAATGTTATTTAATCATAGGAGCGATAGATAAAAAAAATGGTCATTTAAAAAATATGTATTGTTACATTATAACGTCGAAAAACTAAGAGAATAGGACAAGTAAGAACAATCATATTTACCAGATCCTTTTGTTAGCTGGCGAGAATTCAGTTGTGAATATCTTGCGGAATCATGTGACTGCTTCTGCTGACTAACACTTTGTTCTGCACCCATTCAATTTGGCGTTAAAAAGAAATTAGTTTTATCATCCATAAAATGAGATCGTAGGTTATAGTGTTTACCATGATATAACAGTTTGAGATAGTCTAGGAGGGAGGAATCAGGATAAATGGTAAAGCCAAAAAGAAGATAGTGATTGTACCACTATATGAGCTGTAGAGTAGTTGGAACTATTTTTGGTTTTAAGTCCCTGAGAAAAAGAAATAAGAAGAATCAGTTGATACAAACAATTTTTACAAAAAAACAATAGTGGAATCATTTAGCCAACCTTACACCAACTGTTTAACGGAATACAACTTCAATTTTCTTCAAGTATCGAAGCTAGTTAGTTATAATTTCTGAGTACCCGTGCAACGGTTGATTTAAGAGATCGGAATTCAATGAATGAACTCTTCCAATTCCAGTGAGAATCAGGTCATAAGCTAAAAAAAATTTATTTCTATCGACCATAAGAAAATGAAGCATTTCATATTACATTATTATTTTGAACTAGAATGTTGGATAATAGTGCTAATTAAACAAATTCTGAAATCACTTAGATGAAGTAGTTTAGCACAACACTGATTTCTAGACTGAATTAACTAATCCTTTAGTCGATAAAAAACTCACTCAAACCATTTAAACCCTGTCCTGAGAGTTAGAAGGTCTTCATTTAGAAGAATTATGATGTCTCATGATGAAAGCCGAGTTCCTTCGGACGTTACGAGGCCGTTGCTCCACCTGACAACTAGAGTAACATTTAATTTAGGTACATGGAATGTTCGTACTGATCATATCTCCATCAATAAAAACTTAAGAAGGACCATGGAGGACATGAGGACCAAGAGAGGAGCTGGTATAGCCTCAGATCACTACTTCCTGGTTGCCAAAATGAAACTAAAACTCAAGAAGCACCAGACAACGGGGCAGACATCACAAAAGTTTAATACGGCCTTTCTTCGGGATACTGGAAAGCTCAACGAATTCAAGATAGCCCTCAGAAAAAGGTTCCAGGCCATGCGCGATCTACTCAGTGGAGAGGAAAAAACCGTGGAGAACAACTCGAAAGGGATCAAGGACGGAATCACTTCAACATCTCAGGAGGTTTTGGACCACAAAAGGTCCCACCACAGGGAATGGATCTTTGTCGGTACATTGGATAAGATTCAAGGAGAAACAAGAAGACAGCAATCAACATCAGCCAAACAAGATCAGAGAAATTTAAGGCACAAGCTGAATACACAGAAGAATACAAGCAAGTGAGGAGGAGCATCAGAGCTGGCAAAGGTAAATATGTGGAAGAGGTTGCAATGGAAGGAAACTTGAGACGATTGTATGATCCAACAAAGAAGCTGGCTGGAAACTATCATAAACCAGAACAACCAGTGAAAAGCGAGGAAGGTAACGGACACTGAAGCACAGCGAAACAGGTGGGTTGAGCACTTTGAAGAACTCTTGAACCGATCAGCCTCACTGAACTCATCCAACATCGAGGCAGCATCCATGGACTTTCCAATCAATGTTGGCCCACCTACATCAGACAAATCAAAAGCATCAAAGCAGCGGGACCAGACAACATTCCAGCCGAGGCGCTTAGACCCGATATAGCAGTAACTGCAAAGGTACTTCAGCAAGATTTGGGATGAAGAACAAGCATCACCAGACTGGAAACAAGGAAACCTGATCAAGATACCAAAGAAAGGCGACCTTAGTATGTGTGACGACTAAAGAGGCACCACTCTTCTCTCAATACCAGGCAAAGTAGTCAGTGGGGTGTTGTTAAGAGGAATGAAGGACTCCGTAGACGCCCAACTTCGAGATCAACACGCCGGATTCCGTAAGGATCTATCGTTTAACAACCGCAGTGCGACACTACGGATAGTTTTGGAACATTCAAATGAATGGAATTCACCACTCTACAAGAAATTATTAATGAAAGTTGAGCGAACAATTCAAACGTCAATGGTTGGTATGTCCCACAACAGGAAAACCTATATATTTAATGGTTCCTAATTTTTGATATTTAGAAGATTGGTATCTACTTATCACGACAACCATTTAGTTTATTACAATTCTAATTACTTCAAACTGACAGTTACCGATTATTACCTATCAACTGGAGAACTGAATAGCGTGGGAGTGTTGTGTTGTCTTAATCCTGACACTCTTCAGCAAAGGGCTTACGAACGTAAAACTTCGTGATATCCCGAGCAGCATGATTTATTCAAACTATTAAGTTCCCAATGCAAAATGATAAACACTTCTAACTTTGTTTGACTGTTATCAAATGACGTAGGACGAATTATCGCAATGTTACATCGTATCTATGACCATGCTCTCACTAGAAATCCTGGAATCCTGCTCTGTAATAGAAACCCACTCTAATTTAAACAAAACTAACCAGCCCTTCACTTTTATTTATAGGTCGCATCTATTGTATAATAATCTCAATTAAGGTATCATTGAAAGCCAAGTAGCTATGAGCAGCTTTTTTGCCTGAGTGTAGGATCCACACCAGAAGGTCATGGGTTCGTCTCTTAATGAGAGCATAAGTGAGTACCTCTGATAAGTTATGTGTTAGGTAGGAGAAAACCGTTGCTCAATGTTCCATGGTTCTCAATAATACCTCAAGCAAGATTAATCTATAACAAATAAAATGGAAAATTAAATCAATCTTTAGAAAATCTCACCAACAACAAATAGATAATTAGGTAATACAAACAAACAAACAAGAATTGTTTATTTAACTTGAGAAAAAAAAAATTCAGAGATTTTTCTGTTAAGCATTTATTATACACAACTTATTCAAAGCATTATACACACTATATATAAAAAAAAAAGTAGGAATTATAAAAATTAGAAATAGAGCAGTAAAAAAAAAGCAAACAAACAAAACCATGCAGATGAAAATGACAACAATTCGATAATTTAAAAATAAATAAAAAAAGAGAGAAACAAGAACGAAGATAGTGTTTTGTCTTTCACACAGTTATTGAGGTAATAAATAAAGATGAAATAAATATCACAAGGAAGTTTTTTTTGAAGGATTAACAGGAAGACGATAGGATAGAGTAAGTTATATGGTTGATTATTTATTTAATTGTACACAAAAGATAGATAAAAGAGAGGGAGAGAGGGAGATAGAAAGAAAAAAGAGAGATTAATATCACAAATGAAGTACAACTTTTTTTTAGTTTTACTTGTTCAAATACAACAGATTTTCTTAATACGATTGTTGATGAGCAGTAACAAGTCGTGATACATCACGAGCACAAAAATATGTACGACATGTTGGACAAGGTACACGTCCAGAGAGCCACTGAGTTGGTGGACGATGTGAATTTGTTTGTCTTGAAGCAAACCAACGTGCTAAACATTCTAAACACCATAATGGTCTACAATAGCATATACCACATTGATTAACATTTTCTATTGATTGATTTTCATTATTTGCTACTGATGATGATGATGATGATGATGACGTAGAAGCATTAAGTGAACTTTCACATTGACGATTTAAAGTGACATTAGCTTGTTGTACCATACATCCAATGCATTGTTCCAATTCCTTTAAAGATAATAAATTAGGGGAGAACAAAGTATACAATTAGATAATTTTAAGAAAACGGATAACAATGAATGAAACACTAACACGAGAAATTGATTTATTACGTAATTGATATTCTACTGGGCCGATATAAGTTGTACATGGACTAGAATGGTAACGTCTCACAATGTGAAGCTGAGTGATCTACGTTCGAATCCATTATAAATCATTAATCCCTTCAATAATATAGATACGCCATGTTGATGAGTGTGCTAACAGCACGAACCCTAGGTCTAGGGTTTTCTGTAGACAACCAATAATCAGGTAACATCAACGTGACTTGTCAAAAACATAAGATTATGTAATACGTATACTAGTTACATAAAAAATATTTATTTCTGAGAATACCTTCAACTGGATCAATGAACACAAAAACATTTAACTGTCAGTAATCAACTAGTTTACCATACAACTACTGATCTATCAGCTAACAATACTTATAAGTAACAGTTAATTTACTTCACACATGTATTGCTTATATTTAATTGATTGGTCAACTACCAACTAGAATTGTTTATATTAGTTAATGTTCGATAACAGTGGACTGGTTAGTTTTTTCGTATTAATCTGACTGATTGTTGTTGGCTTTTATTAACTATAAAGTAATTTTATAACCTAAACTAGTCTTCTGGACAAATTATGTTTTTTAAACTGGATGGTTTAGTTTTGTAAAATATTCAGAAAGTATGTAATGATTATAACGACGATACTGTTTAGAAAAACAATGAAAGTTTCACGACAAAACTATCCACCTCAAATGTTACAATATCTCTAATATCCCTATCCTGAACTAAAAAATACCGTCCTTCATCGCATAAACTAATCTTTACTGAATAAAGAACTGTACAAATAATCAAATAAATACTCTGGGTAGCTAAAGTAGTCTTTGAATTGTGTGAAGAGCAAATCGATATATTGACTCATTTTCATAAGGTAGGATGTTGATGTTGTATCAATACAATCGATTAAATGGTTGTGAGGAAGAGAAGAAAAAATCTGGGCGAAATAAATACGCGATAAGTATTTGGCTACCAGTCGACTGCTTAAAGCAGGGGAAGATGAAGAGCCAATGCATTTGAATCTTTGTGACTGATTTCGAACCATGCTACACAACGTCGCCAACCACTATTTTTTACAGTTATCTTACGAACTATAACCGGTTACTCCACACAAGCCAACGTGGCTCAGACAAAAGTCGATGGACCGATGTCATGTTTCATTTTAACAGCCCTCAGTTTTCATCAAACCTACATCTACAATTCCATAGAATGGAAGAAAAAATTTCACACACAAAAAAAAGATAAACAACTCACATAGCCAGTTGGTAAATTTACCACTTGGTTTTCATCAACCACTTGCGTAAATGCTTCAATAAATCTTTGAATAATTGTTGGCTCCAATTGTACACCCTGTGCTTGTATTAAAGGGAAACGTAGTTTACTGCGTAACTCATCTAAATTTGATGCTGGCAATCTTGAAATAATAAATTGGAAATAATGACAAGATAATTAAGATTCATCACACAAGTATAAAGTCGACTTAAAAAATAAAGGAACATTTTTACTGTTAATGTTAAAAATCTGAAGCTCAGGAAATTCCTAATACCTAGAACTTAATACAACAAATAATTGACTATTGAACAGAGAAGTGTCCAAACATTATAAATCACACGAAATTCAACTATATGTTTCAGTGAAATTGAGTAACAGTGAACGGGTTGAGCAGAATTAAAGAATTGGTTTAAGAATTATGGTTTCATTTTGTCTTGTGTTTCATAATCAAAGCAGCATGAATTTAGATGCGATACAGAAAAGAACATTCAATAATGCAAGAGCTAGAGTGAACAAAATATCAGAAAATGAAGAAGAGATTTAGTTAAGAACTAGGTTATATCAAGTACTGTTAAAAATATGAGAGTGGTTGTTATTTATCGGTCGCTCACACGATAGAATACCCCTTCTTGATATAATCGAAGGAGAAACTAGGATAAAGGTGATTTTTAGGAACTGGTCGAGGTCGATCACACATGGTCTTTTTGTGAGTATCTGTTGATGTACCAGCTGTGTACTCCTTTTATACAATAACGGTAATGACGGAAATCCGTGAGGCAAGGAAAGGTTTATTGTGTAGACTACCTCTCCAACGAGATGGTGGCTAAGTAGAGTTAAGGAATCAGTCTTTCAGCAATTGCCCTAAGCTGAGACTTAACTCTAACTAATTCGATTCGGGCAACCAAGGAGCATTATTAACACTCACATTTGAAGTGTGGATCATACCCGAACGCAGACCATATTAGTACAGAGAGATCAAATTGTCAGCTCAAATCCTATACTAGTAGAGGTTACGGTAGTACTATCGGTAATGAAAAAGACAAAGGATTAAAGACATGATTCGATAAGTGTAAACCAGTGAAAGAAATTTAAAAAACTAAAGAAGGCCGTGAGGAGTTTTCATTGGGATTCGAGAGAAGACAAAGAATAGACGCATCTGCACCATTACAAAGGATTTTCAGCCATGTCGTTCAAGGTCTCTAACCATCGGTTAGTATTATATCGCGGACCCCGACCGGGTAGTCCACATTTACCGACATGCCTCGGCCCACTTGTCAGTGACTTCATCGACTTATGCCATGTTTTGGTTTGGTCGCCCCTAGCTTTCGTCCAAACTACTGAAGCAACATTTTTCATTTCAACGGGGACAATTACAATCCCGAACATCCTTGCATTGTTGCCTAAAGTGTTGTCAACGTTTTCACGAAACAGAACTATACCATCTGCATATTCTAAGAAGACAAGGGAATCTCCTGGTAGAAGGTCAACTTCAGAGTCAAACAATGAAAGTGCTGTCTCTAAAAGCGTGTCAACGACAAAGTTAAGTAAGAATGAATAAAGTGGCCAACCATGACGAACACCACTAAAAAATAATTAATTCCGATGACGGATCGCCACAATCTCTGACTCGACCAGCAGTATCGTTGGAGATGCAAGCTGTCGAAAAAAAACTATTTACTTTCATCCTATATCTACGAAGATAGCAGTATGGCTTCGCCTTCAAAACTTGGATTCGATCTTTTGAGCTTTACTAAATTCCTCTTTCTGGACTGGCAATTATAACAGGACCGAAATAAACGAGTATTTTAGCTAATATATCTCAATCGAGTCAGTACGATACACAGGCTAGATGACCATGTCAAAGAAACAGATATACCCTGGAAATAATTAAATACTACACACATGCAAGAAAGTGACCATTATTCATCAAAGAATGTTTTAAGTTAAGAGCCTTCTTAGGATAACTTCAGATTCATTAAATCAGTGCTCATACTAGGTTAATGCGATTCATTACTCCTATGACTATATAATTATCAATCAAAGCAAATATAGTAATTTCTCCTTCACAAATAAACACTTATTAATACTTACCCAAAACTAAGCAAGCACACCCCTGTATCTGTACGTATAAATCTCACTGTAACAATTGTTTGCACACCTAAACTTTCTCCATCAGGTTGACCACCTTGAGTTAAAGAGCTTGGATCTAACACTGAAAACGCTGAAACAACCACAGCTAACATATTTTCCGAGGATTGTTTAACTATTTTGAATTCAGTAAAACGTGAAGTCAAAATCCATGAATCTGTGATAACAAATCGTCGACCTGACCAATTAGTTGATAAACTTCCTTGACCTGCTACGAATTTATCAGAACGTTGATATTCAGAATTTATCGAAGATACCAAAGCTTTTATACTAAAATAAAACATAAAGGTTGAAATCTGAAAGATTCAATCAACCATTTAAAAAATGTTTGTCCTTTTATAAGCGAATGATGTGAAAACTCAAGAAACAAATAAGGCTTATGTTAGGTTAACTTTTAAATACAAGTTATTGTCAACATAGTAGTTAATATTTATTATTGAAGTACGACTTAATCACCGCTTACAATGTATATCAAACTGAAAGATTGGATTTATACAATCAGGTTCTCATGTTAGCTAAGCAAAATTTGAATATAATGGTTATATTTTATCATTCACTTTGATTTCTTGCTTTGTTTGTAAAGAATTGATGAACAGTTCGTCGAAGAAATCACACCAACCCATGTGGTCATTAATAATTAGTCCGATTCGCCTTGAAAACTTCAACGTAATGTACAGCCGTTTGAAAAATGTAACGATTGATTTGTAAATTTTAATCAAACTTGAAAAGCTTCCTTTGTATATATATATATATATATAGTAAGTAATATAGTGTAACAGAAACAAGTTCATTTTGTAATCAATTAATGTGATATGATTGCTTTAACGCAATAATAAGTGTGTTAGGTCACAAGACAACACATTCAGTTAAAAAAAATGGTATATCACAGTATATATCAGATGAATATTAAATGGATGATCAGTTTTACTATACGATTTTTACTTTTTTTCTGTTACTGATTTTATCATTTTCTCTGCATTTTCGGACTAAACTATATTATGCTAAATAACAATACGAAATGAAGTGTTCAACTTTTAGGATACACAAGGAAAAAATGAAAGATGATAGTCTTGATCTTTTGGAGTAAAACAATTATTCAATGTTAAGGTCACACACACATATAAAGACAATTATTTAAAATACAGATATATATATGTATATAAACGAACAAGAATACTCTCAACAACAAAAACATTCTCTTTACGTTTTATAATTGTTTGTAAACTAAGATTTTTAAAAGAAAAAAAATATTCTCATGTAGAGATGATTAATATGGACCATTAAACTTGAATAGGCCTTTTATACGATAAATGAATTTGTAAAACTATTGATCAGAATGAATAATGAGTTAGATATAAAGTAAGTGAACTAAGAATACAGTTACAAAGCAGATTAAAATGTTTGATGAAAGACAATGTCATGCATAATAGTTTTATATATGAATCCAATAAGAAATAAGAAATTGGAATGAGGGCTTAGCAAATCAATATGTTCAGGAAATTAATATTCATGCTGAAGTAATAATAATAATAATAATAATAATAATAATAATAATAATAATACAAAGATATGTGAATCAAAATTAAAAACCAGTAATATTTGACTAAATAAAGTTGTATGGTCAATAGTTATATTAGAGGTCAGGCAGTGCTGAGCCGTTTGCTATCTTCAGTATATCTCTGCTTAGTCAAGGCAGGCGTTCACGAGTCGGAAAATGTGAATTCTCAGAACTTAGACCAATATAACTTGCCTCACAGCAATAGTCGAACTGATAAAAAAAACAAAGCGAAGGGGACACATTACAGGTAATATTCGCCTTTCGATTTCGGAGTGACCGCCGGAAGTGTAAAAAACATTAATCATAGTTTCTTATTTTTTTAGGTGAGATGTAATGTAGATGTTTCATAGGACTTCTGATAATTTTTCTAACTCAAAGTTATTTGATGAAATAAATAAAGACCAGTGGTCTTTACAGTTATAAAATATTATGAAGATAAATTGGACTCCGAAAGAATTTTATAATGAAAATAAAAAACTAAACTAGTAATAATAGTATGATTGAGAATAAGTTAGGGGGTGATTGTCATAAATAAGAATAGACTGGTTATTGTGTTTATGAACAGTTGTCTACGCAAAATACTTCGGATTCGTTGGCCAGACACCATCAGCAACAACTTACTGTGGGAGAGAACAAACCAGATTCCACTGGAGGAGGAAATCAAGAAGAAGCGGTGGAAGTGGATATGACACACGTTGCGGGAAGCACATAACTGCGTCACGAGACAAGCCCTCACATGGAACCCTCAAGGCAAAAGGAAAAGAGGAAGGCCAAGAAGTACATTGCACCGAGAAATAGAGAAAGATATGAGAGGAATGAACAAACATTAGACAGAACTGGAGAGGGAAGCCCAGGACAGAGTTGGTTGGAGAAAACTGGTGGGCGGCCTATGCTCCATTGGGGGTAACAGGCGTAAGTAACGTAAGTAAGTAACGGTTATTGTGAACGACTAACTAAAAATAGTTTTGGAATCTTCAATAGATGCAATGAATTTGATGCATCTCCAATTTCGTTCTAACACTGTTTCCCGGTAATGTAGATTTAAAAATATTCATATTATTGGATATATTTACTAACATTGAAACATATTAATATTCCTCTAGGAAAAAAGAACAACATAGTTTATTTCATTTTCAGACGTCAGATTAATGAGAAGGTAAGAAAGAACAGTTAAAAGCGGCAAACAGAGTTAACAGTCAAATAGTCAAAGTTGTACCACGTAAGTACAAAAGAAAAGTTTTTTTTAAACATTGACCCAACATGTTTAAGTAACTAGTTGAATGAAACTAAATTTTCCGTTCATCTTCAATGTAGTTCAGACAATGATCATCCAACATCATCAGTGACTGCCACAGTTCCAACACAGATGAACTTGACTAGATACAATTTAAAACTAAAATTCTAGGGACTGATAGTGAAGATAGTTGCTAGTGAATACCGACTTTCACTTATTTGGATATCTTGTGGAGATTAGTTTTATTTAAAGACACTTTTGTTACGAACTTACATAATTTATTCAACTAACTTAAAGCTAGTAAATCCAGTTTTATGAACATCTATTAGTCCCCTGAATCGTATCATTCTGAATAATTAAACTACCATCATAAAGGTTGAAATGTGGACATTACATGATAAGATTTTAAAGGTATACAGAAAAAGTTAAAAATTTGATGTAAACTTTTCTTACGCAACACTAAATGCGCCATTTGATAGAGATGATGGTGCTGTGGCTGATGATGACGATTGTGAATCAGATCTGGATTCCATAATAATCTGTTTCAATGATAAAATTGTCGGATGACCATACCATGTACCAGATCCATACCAAACTAGATAAGTATGTGAACCGATGATAGATAAACTGCCTATGCCAATCCATAGAATTATATCCCAAATTGTAAATGGAAATGAAACATTTGGAGCAGCAATCGCTACATTTTTAGATAAAAACTGCATGAACATAAAATACACTAAAATTTAGGAAAGAAATAAATATGAACAACAAGTGTAATAAAAATTTTTCAAGGTGTTAACTATTAACATAGATTAGTAGATATGTATATAAATGCTTTAACGGGATAAGTACAAAAGGAAGTTGGACTTTCAGAACGGTTCTATCTGAAGTTACTGTCTATAATTTTGTGATATAATTTCGAAGTACTTAAAATATGACATTTTTGTATTGTCTTACTTGTAAGCTGTTTTGTGATGCAAAAACTGTTATTATGCATTATGCCTTTCTTAAGTTACTGTCGCTTTATTACACAGTCGTTAATCAGTCCTCCACTTAATTATGGCATGGCTATATTCACATAGTAACTGCTTGAAGCTGTTGATGTGCGGTTGGGTTTTGACTCCATATTATTATGAGGGGTTCATAAATCCAAACTATGTAATTATAAGTTATCTGCCTACTGTCTTGCGTTCTATTCCAGTTATCGGGCGAGAAAGCCTGGAAAAATGCTTCCTAGCCCAATGGCTAAGTGTTGTTCTCAGCTGTCATCTCCCTATCATTGTTATTAGTTGGCCAAAGGCCACTGATACAAAATAGGGTCCAGGTAAACTTATTAATGCTCAGACTAAATCAATAAAACTATTTTCCTACTTTATGATTCGGTCACATGGGCCCAAAAAATAACCAACAAAAATGGTTTATTTTTATCATCATATAAACAAATGCAACAAACGACGCCAATTAGTTGTGTAGTAAATATCTGTAAACTCAGATCCAAGTTACACTTGTGTCATATAATGGTCAGTAAGATTACTCAGTTATTCAAACAGAATAATCTGAGGATGAGTTGAGACCTGCGACTTAGTTCTCAAAGCTAAATTTATTAACCACCCATAATATACTTATAACTGCTTTTGAGATTTGAGTATAAGTAGGCTTTCATTTTCTAATAATCGTAAATACTAAACCTCACATGTGTTAATCCACATTAGCTTTAAGCGCGTCATGTTCCTGACAAATCTTCTGTGCAAATAACGTATAGACTTATGCTATGTGGAAATAGTGAGTAACTGATGTAAAAGCAAGCTTCTGTTGAGTAAACGATGTCAGGTATCTCAAGTTTGTGCCGGCTGCTATACAGAGGGAAACAACGCAGTAACCTTGACAGAGATACCTGGTAACTTTAAGCAGATATTTAAGCTTATAACATATGAACCTATAATTTAGTGCAGAAGAGTTGATCATGTCCAAACTCTTCATTCTGTTCTTTACTTGGAAATATTTTATTCATGGAGCTAAACTACCATCTGACATCATTTAACTAACATAAAATACGTCTTTAAAAGTAACATTCATTGAAAACTATACACTGACTACATTAATGCAAATAAACACCAAAATAAATAAACTTACAAAATACTAAAGACGATGAAAATAATCGTATTAGTGCAGTTCTCTTTAAATGATATTGAACAAAGTATAGGCTTTCATTCCCAAGGAATCGATTAAACAAATTCTCTAATGTTACACCAGCAGAAATAAACTCTGTAGTCGGTGCCATAATACAAAATACAAGGAGCCCAAATAGCAATGTATACAGAACATCAAAAGAATCAAATGTTGAACTAACGAAGAATGTATCCAGTGTCGCTAAATTGGCACTATAACTTTCCATCTTATTGTACTAAGTTGTAATTGCAACAAATAGAGACGTAGGTAAATTTCTACTGAAATAAAATAGACATTGCAATCAATCGATAAGTTAACTATAATGAATGATGAATCTAATATCACTCACAAATTTTTACAAATATTTCCTCAAACAAAAATCTAGAGAGAAAAATACACTTCATAAGCTAATGAGTAGTAAATTTATAAAAAACACAATCTTAGCCCAGATAATTTAAATGGATTCTCGGTGCACAAATGAAGGATACAAGGAATAGTATATAATTATGATGTTAATAATATACCTTATGAAGGTGAGTTGACGGAAAACTTCTACTAAATATATATCACGTTACACAAAATTTTAATGAGCACTTTTCAGGTACTATAGGGGTGTTAATAAGGAACACACAGTCACAGATTTATTAAAATCTCCAAAAACTAGAGTCTGGAATTATCTTCGACTAAACTTAGCTCTATTGTGTTACAGAAGTTTTAAAACGGAGAATCCGTTTTGCATTTTCTAGTTGGTCACCAGTAAGATATGAATTCGCCTATTGGGAAGTATGTTTGTTGATAGAGTCGATTGCACTAATCAACGGATTTAATACTTGGATTTTAGCGAAAGATATGTTCAAGGTGGATATTTGAACGCAAATGCCTTTCGACCATTACTTTATTCAATGGGACCACCAAATAAAATGTTTGGATCCAGTCCAAAAACTTATAAGCAGAGGTATTACGTATATTGTCATTATAGTCACGAAAACTTACTTGCTGTTAGGATATTCATAAAAATATCCCAAAAATTATTCTGTCAAGTCAAATTCTATTATTAAACGTAAAATCACATGTTTTCACACTTTTCACATATTTTACACCCTTCCTATTGGTCCATATTTACGGTCGGCCTAACTGTATAAATATGCATTGTCAGTAAAGTTCTAGATGTATTCTGACCCCACACACAATTTTCGTCTGATGGTTTTGTTCTGATATAATGAGGATTTAGGAAACAGAATTTGCGGTCGTACTGGCATATCTCAGGTTGGCCAATCGGTAGAATTTCGGGTAGCCACATCACGGACCGCAATACTTGGTCTGTTCGGTTTGAAAATAATAGGTTCGAATTCGAGTCAATCATACACAAAGTAGGAACTAGAACATGTAGGTCAATTAAAGTTGCCAAACGAATGAGAGCACAGTGAGATGGTAAAGTGGTATATATATATATATATATATATACATATATATATATATACTTGGAGCAGTAAGGGGAGTAGTAAATTGCTTTAGTGATACACAACTATTACTGGATTACAGGTTCAAACAGCATTTAGGAAACCGATTTCACAAAGAAGGATATTTTAAGCGGTCTTTGTGTACTTATTTGATTATATTAGAGACCTACAAACACTTATAGCATCGTGATATACAGTGTGTACTAGAAATCGTCCTCATACCTAGTGTCGTAAAAACTGCGAACACCATAATACGTTAGATTCGGGGGCATGTTGTCAGACAATACCAAAGAAACGCAACTGATGTATATGCGGGCAAGTTTGGCCTGAAGGATCTCTGTAAATTGATTCATATCAGAATAATAACCAAGAATTTAGGTAATTGCTATCTTTCTGAATGTACAGTTTCCAATCGTCACTTTAATATACAAATCTTACGATTTTTCTACACTTTTAATTGAAAAAGCATGATTTTAGCACTACACACAGAGTAGTGCCTTTAATTTACGATTCGCTTGATTCCGTTGGATAACTATGCAGCAGAAAGATGCAAAGCAAACATAAACACTGCTAAGAGTCAAAAAGTACAGGTGGACACAACGATATAACGTACAAAAGCGGTGTGATGAAGACTAATAAGAAAATGGACATTCAAACTAGTTATTAGAAAGTGGTAAATTTCGACTAAATAACACATACTTCATAATTAGTGCAATTTTTAATTCACAGAAAACTACGTGACTCTAATCCAACTGCTCCCGAGCGAATAAATCATAATGCCATACCATCATAAGCAATGGTAACCGCTGATGAGAGACGGGTAAAGCCGAGCCGTGTTGTATTACCTTTTAAGGATCAACATGACACTTATGGATGAAATTAAGGTAGTCACTAGATAATTAAGACATTAGGAGTCGAAGTAGCTTTCAGCTTATTCTTATAGTTTGTTTAGTGTCCAGAGGATTACGATTCATTAGCACTAAATGTATTTCATGACAAGCTGTTAGTTTCATGAACGTCGAAAAAGTATGTAGGCAATATCCCTTCACGTGGCTGTCTTCTGAGGAAGACATTTAGTACTATAAAACATCAAACAATCGAAATGTAAGACGTAAACAAATAGGTCTACCTATATCATGATAATAAACACTTGTGAGCCAAACTTGAAAACGACAAAAGTTCCACTGTACTAGTGGAACATAAAGGTTAATAAGAGATTGAATCTTCATGTGATATTACTAATGTCAGCGATTTAAAAAGAATAGTATGAAAATAGTGACCCGCTTCAAAGAAAACGGTAAACTTAAGACTCAGTAAGTGCACGGAATGCACAGGGAAGGTGATATGCAGAAAACAGCAATCACGCAAGCCTCAAAATAAGACAGTATGGGAATCGAGACTAGAGGATAATTCAGCCTGCTGCACTGCTGTAGCTTTAGCTTTTGATAAGTTGCTGTTTAGCAGAAATGTACCTTGTGTGCTGTGGGAGTTGTTATTTGGAAGAGGAAAGAGCAAGCGAAAAGTGAGGCTAAACCTGAGCAATCACGTAGAATGCACTTACTTTAATGTACGAAGCAATTGAAAACAATCCGAAATAACACAAACATGAGACTAAGAAAACCGGAAAGGAATGTTGGCAGCGTCAAGTTCCGAATGAGTTACACCGACTACAGTTAATTGAGCCGCTGCCTGGAACTCAATTAACAGGTGATGATAGAAGAATGACATTGACCTGAAGATAAAATTCTCAAAGGACGTACCTAAAATAGCTTTCAAATATCTTATATCTTCTTCAAGAAACAGTCTATTGATTTCTTTGCGCCCGCTCCTTGCCGCTCTACGCTTTTAGGCACTTCATAATATCCAAAGCGTAAATGTCTAGTCAGTCGACTGTACCAGTACTAGGCAGTTCTGTAGCAATTTACGGTTTTTATATCTCATACTTTGAGTGAACAAGTTTGTTTAAAATCAGTACTGTTTCTGAAATGGAAGGCTGTCACGTTACTTGGTAGGAGGTTAACTGGTAGCAATGTGAAAAATAATAGAGAGAAAATTATATTGCCAGGCGTAGACGAATGTTTCAAGATTTAAACCCAAAAACAAGCTAGTTAGCTAATTAATAAATACGACGGTATGGGAAAGTCGAACTGTTAGAACACAGATGATTATAATCATGATAATAATAATATGCTTGATGGGAATAAGTTAATGGTACGCGGTAATGACAATAGTGGATGGATTACCTGAAAAATGACAATCTGTAAGTGGCTAAGGTCACTTCGAGTGAGAGAGAGTTCTGAGTTTGAACAACTCTTGATGAAAGAAGTGGAGGCACATCTGAGTGCTTGTTTTTTGATGTATAATTTTGTCAGGTTTGCGGTGGTGATGTACGTGTATGATCATTTGGGGGTGCATAATATGTTGTACTCCATTATCAAACCATCCTAGAACCCAGAGAGAACAGTCCCAAGTTTTGGAGTCCATCTTCATAAGATGTATGCTTTAATCCTATCACCCATTTACTTGCCTGTCTGTGAACACAGTCGAGTAGATTTATGCCTCTGTCTAGGAGTTGTGGTGTGATAGTATTGTGCACCAAGAGGTAGAACTGTTCTAACTTTCTAAAACATTTATGTACAGTTTTGTGTTGATCGCGACCTCTTGTCTTTTCATAGGATGAAGAGTTTCAATATCATTGTTTACATCCCCTTTAGTGATTTGATCTGGTCCCACAGTACATAGTGGTTACCGGTTAGAGATCGTGCTCTAATGATAAAGTTGATGGTGAACTAATGTCAGAGACATTCTTCCTCATATGACGTAGTTAGTTGACATCCTTCATATGACTTTTCTACTGGTTAGGTATTAACCCTCTGTCTACTGCTCATTTATTGTTGTCAGGTCTTTTTAAAGCTGAAATGAATCCGTTCTACAGCTTTCCGACCTACAGATCTTTGAATGATTTTATTAATTTCCTTAATAATTCCCTGTACATTAGCCAAACGACTCCTAGCAGAGCTACAGTGAAAAAATTTACCACGTATATGGCAAAAATCCGCCTGTAGTTCTTCTGGGGTTACTGCAGGACCTAAAGCTGGATATAGTAGGAGGGTTGGGAATGGGGTTAGCAACCTTATCCCGTAGATACCAACGCGCGAGAAAACTGTCAACCGAAACAAATAATTCAGACGTTTCAAGCTCTGCCCTAAGATTTGGAAGAAGAGTTATGACGTATCATGATGACCTTCTGTCAACCAAAACAACCATTAACTGAGGTAAATATAATGTTTGCACGATATAGAAGATCGGAAGAGTCACTCAGGTTGCTGATTAAATGAAATGATACAACCTGGTTGTACTCGGAATCACTGAAACAAATTGAACTCAGGTTTGACAACCAAGACTAGCTTCAAGGGAGTTGCTGTTAGATATATGAAGAAGAAAGCTCCTCACATACACAAGGAGTTGCACTGATGCTATCAAAACCAGCACATAACACGCTGGTAGGATGCGAATATCATGGGCCCAGCAGAGCATTTCTATAACTTCTAAACATCTGTAACTCAAAACAACTATCAACCAACATCAAAGTCACAAGTTCCAACTTGAAAGTTATGCGGAACAATAACTGAAAGAGTTAACGAAGACCGTCATACACAAGATACAAGTACCTAACGACAGGAGTCGTGCTGAGGATCTTTTGTCCAAAAATTATGAGCAATAACTGTCTGTGGGATAAAACAAACCAGATTCCAGAGGAGAAGCGCTGGAAGTGGATAGTACACACAATGAATAAAGCACCTGACTGCGTTACAAGACAAGCCCTTATTTCGAACCAAAGGAAACGTGGTGGACCGAAGAATATGTTGCGCCGAGAGTCGGGGAGAGACTGGAGAGAATAAATTACAATAGGGTAGGATTGGAAGTGAGTGCTAGAATGACGTTGGGTCATGAATGCTAGTCGATGGTATTTGTTACATAAGGGGTAACAGACATAAGTAAGTGGGTAATATTTGTAGCAAACAACCGTAATCCCTTCCTAAAAGGCAAATTATAACGACTAGTACAGAAAATAGCAATTAATTACATACGTTAGCAATCTTAACATTTTGATCGTGCCTGTAAATTGGCATGCCTCTTGTACTATGTTGTTATTTGAGAAAAAATTATTATTATTATTTACGTAAAGACCGATAAAAATAAGCGTACTGATAGTTACAGGGGCACTGAAAAGGAATCAGTAACAAAGATTTACTCATGCTGCTACAGCTGGTGCAAATTCAAAAATATAAAGTCTGAGTAATAACTGGTCTGGGATGAAACGAATTTTAAGTCGAGGGTACTGAACTCAAATATTATTGGTAGATTAATCCATCGATTGAGAAATATATCGTTTACGTTGATTAGTCCCACTGAGCTGATTTCATCAAACTGGTCAACGTTGAGTGTCGGTATGGTGAGAGGAGATATAATAATGTTCTGTGGATCTCCTGATGCTAAGGCTCGTCAGGTCTTATTTACCTTCGTACAAAACCTGCTGTCCTCTTAATATTTTCGAGGGCATGATTGAAACTGATCAGTGAAGGACATCTGTCGTGTCTTTTGCTCTTAATGGGTGTGGTACTGTGTGGAAAGCTTTTCAGAAATCAAGGAAAATTACATGAACCTCTTTTACTTGATCCAGGCGGGTTGTCCAGCTGTGCTGTGCTATGAGAAGATAGAACGCTCATGACATGCCATTCTCAACCCATGCTTCGTGGAGGATGTTATTATCCGAAAAGTCCTTCACTTGTTCGGTCCTTCTATCACATTAGACACTGTTGGTACCAATAGGACCGGTCTATGGCAGGCTTTGATTTTCCGATCTCCTCCTCTGAAGACTGGATAGAGAGTGGCTTGTTTCCGTTCTGCTGGAAGTTGCTGTGACTCCAGTGGGTGCATGAACAGGTCTTGTACCAGTGAAGTGCGGGCTTCTAGAAACTGCTTCAGGATTTCGGGGTGGACGTTGTAATATACTGTTGACTATCCCGGTCGCAGTATTTACCGGGTAGTTATTCTGATATTCCGTAGACCTTTGAATGTTGCTAAAGTTGAGTGGTGATCCAAGCTTATGAGGGCCTGTTTCAACTGATCGGTGAAGTTGGCAATAAAAATCTCAGCCGTCTCTAAGTTGACATTGATTCACTTATCTATGTTACTCAAATAAAGGGCCTGATTCACTAATGTGTGCTTCATCGAACTTCTGAATAGCGTAAGTCGAATTAGCCCTTGAACCTACGGATTTGGACAACAAGTAATTCAGGTAGGCTGAAATGTAAGCAATCATGGGCATTGCGGTTCATGCATTCAAATTCAAGAGTGATGTATTTGCTGAGATTGAAATAAAATTGCCGAACAGTTCAAATTTTGAAGGCCCTGGAACCTTTGAAAACATAACTAATAAAGTAACATGATATATTCCCTGTGCCTTTTGAATGTGCTAGACGTGTTAGGAGAAAAGGAGTTCCTCCCAAATTCCAAGTTAACCACATTCATCAAATTTTGCAGTAACTTATATTGTGCGCAACATTGTTTTGGATATAATTCAGCGAAACACGAGACTCATAGTTTATTTTGAAATGAATTTCAACGGAAACTAAAAGTATTTATCCATAAACATCACCAAAGTGGACAGATTTCGAGAAGTCAGCTTTATGTCGATTGTTAGACAAACAAAACTGTGGAATACCATACCAAAAGTTTCAAGTTACTCATGAAATTGTGTTTGTTTAATAACATCCGCAATTATTCACACCAATCTTGCAAACTGAGAACCCTTTTTCAAGACCATGAGATGGCTGCTGTACAAACCTAAACAAATTTGGCTAAGCTTTCAAGATGGCATCATCAGTAGATGACCTTTGACAGTACATCAATGCTTGAAGTGGAATAACATATTTAGCACGAAAAGCAAAACGCTAATTAATAAAATGGCTTATCCTCATTTAATGCTTCCGCCGTTCAGCGTTTCTGCAATCCATCCAGTTTTAATTGTTGAACTTACCTTATCTCAGACATGGAACGTTTAGCTTAAGCATCATGTAGTTTTACAAACTATTACCATTAAACTTACTCATGGCTGTTTTGTCTCCTCTACTGTGACGACAGGAGATAACTTTCTTATCCCTGCTAGTTTTCTCTGTATGACCCCGTTAGAAGTAAATGTACCATGGTCACTGCTGCCTAACAGTGCGAGGAAATCAGTATCCTCGAGTAAGGGCTGACCTTCATTTTTAAATCATCTAATTTACACGGTTTTAAGTCCTTACACCATCTTGTGGTTTCACGCACATATTCAGTCTACTCCGAACATCTGGTTACTGTGTCTGACCACTTATGGAACAACTCAGTAGAGCTTATAACCTGATGGCCAAGATTTCGAGACAGAGTTTTGAAGTCTCTGTCTATAAGTGTTTATTTAAACCTGTGATATGGCTATTACTTTACTGCCCGGATTATCATACATTTATGACAGTTAGTACCAGTGGAATGCTGGATTATTATTGTGCTTTCAGAAGAGCTGCGATTCGGTTAGAACAATAATCACTATAACCAACTGAAAGCTCAAAGTTCTGATTTCTTCTAATTTAATCCTTGATTTTCTTACGTTGTTACAGAGGCGCTCGATGCTCTGTCTTATGACTTGGGGATCTTCATATGCTACCTGTGTTCTTTGAAAAAGCTAATCGGAATGGATTACACAGTTGTGTTGGCGATGGACGCTGGGGATCCTTTGCTTGTATAGTATATTCCATGGGTCGACCCGCAATCTCTGCTCTCCTTACTACTGGTTTTCGATCGAGGTAAATGAACATCAGGGTGCTTTTTATTTTGCTCCACAGATGCTCTCATATTGTTTTACGTCGGTTCTTACAACATCAAACGTGGTTCAAGTTGTGCGAAGCTTCGATATACTGGTGGGGAATAGAAACAGAGAACGCAGCCACAATAAAAAATACATTTGACAGTGGGCGAGAATGTTTTGTCGTCATTACTATCGTTTCTCTCCTCGAAAGTAGGCTTTGCAACATTAACTTAGTGCTATTCAGTGCAGTTCTGCTAACTCGTTCTTGCTGACTGATCTTACGAGGAGCTAGAATCCAGGCAGGAACGTGATCCCGATTTCCAAGTAACAGACTGAATTGAAGGCTTTGGATGGAGTGACTAGAGTTATATATATTACTCTGATGTTTACTTTTCGGTGTTGTTTTGAGTTTCTTCATTTCTGTTGCTTCAAACAGGGATTTTCGGTTCATTGGTAACTATAACTCTGAATTTTACTCATTAAAAATAAACAGAAGAATGTGAGACAATTCTATGAGGCAATATGAAAATATAAATTTTGAGGGGGGGAAATAACGGTAAAAATAAATGAACCTTTACAGTACAAGAATGTAACCTGAAAGGTACTTAAAGTTGCCTTATCTTGGCAAGTAACCTCACCTCGATCTACTGACCTTTCTACAAGTCCTACTTTGCGATTGAATAGACGTGTTCTTTTTTATCCTACAAACAAACTGATCAGTTTCAAGCAACACAGCCGTAGTTCTTTCTTATTAATGTGTTCAGATTTTTGACTATCTAACTTCTTCAGCTGATAGGTAAAGTTGTAGAATAGTTGAACTAATGTAACATGGTCACTATGCAGAGAATATCGATTATGTCGATCACCATTATAGGGTTTTCAGGTTTGTTGACATGATTTTCGGTTAAAACATACAATGAACAAAGCTTCGTATGAAAAGAAACTTTTTAATAGTTTTTTCAGCATCACCTATCAAGGTAATCAAACACTCAGTGATGTATCATCTCATAGTCGGGGTGACCAACAGGAAATATAGAGTCCTACTATCTGGTGCATTATAGTCACAAATGAGAAATAAATGAAATTCGTATCTAAGTAGCCCGGTTCAAGCTTTGTACTGATGATTTCTTATGATTCCTCTTCATATCGAAATTATAAACGGAGATGTCATACACACTAACTGTTACGCGTTCATTCTTGTCTAGCTAATATAAAATGGTTTGCATTCTTCTGTAAAATCATCAACAACTTTCGATCCTGAAATTCTGTATTCTGAAAAGCTTCCATCTAACTCAGTGATAGGGCTTAAGGGATTGATGAAAATACCACTTAGAGATTAAGAATACTTGATTTAATTGAAGAAAAATTTTAGACATTATATCGGCTCTATGATATGGGGTGGTAGTGATGAGAAGTTATGCCATGCTTATTTGTGTGAACTTTTCCTGGAAATTCGTCGACAGACGAAAACCCGGACATATGATGCAGTGGAATCGGAATAAAATTATGAGAATAGCGATAACATGATTTCTCAATGCTCTTTATGACTGTGTAAACTAGATGATTCGCTTGCGTTCACCCTTCAAGTTAATAGTACGGTTTGAAGGTTAAACGGAAAAGTCAGTCCATTGTTACAAACCGGAGAACAGTAAAAATCAGGATATGTAGGGGAAAATGCCGTATGAACCTGAATTATACGGATGTTTTACCACTCCAGGCTTTTGGAACGGCCTTGACCTTGGATGGCGGCCTGATCGGCTTTCGTCGTTGTCGTTATCTCATGGTATGTTACAGTGTATTACGATATGCGAAGCACCTGGTTTTCATGCACACGTTTTTCATTAGTTAAAGAAATATCTGCCACAAAAATAATGCATACTTATTGTTTTTTATTGATGTTATCGAGCAGGATAAAGAAAACTGTTAATCATTTATTAAATTAATATTTCCTATGCTGTTGTTTGTTTTCCTTTCAAATGATGGAAAACTCACGTTATGGCAAATATGCAGTTTTTTCTGTAAAAGTAGGTAATTACCTAAAGTCATACTAATAGTTCTCAAAATAATTAATTTTTCCCAGTTGCAGACCAAGTCACTTTGCTACTGCATATAGTTAAGAGCGTTCTGTGCAACATAAAGACTTAACGGTTCATATAATCCGGGTTACATAAAATGGCCCGAAAGCCCCTATACATGTACTGATCTCGAGATTCATGTAAATATCCATGTTGTTCACTTATTGAATGTATAATATGCATTAAAATTTCGAACCTACATTTGTTGTTCTAGCCTTTGGTTATTTTAGTGGATACATTACTCTCAAATGATCAGCATGTTTGTTGATCTGGTCAATTAATAGCCCTAAAGTCTTGTTTGACTTTTACATGAGTGCGTGCGTGCGTGCGTGCATTGTTGGTTTCTCTTGTCACATGTCTAGCTTATTTTTGTTTGACTGTGAACACTGAATCATAAGTCGTCACATGTAGTTCGTCTGTTCGCTTTATTCACCTCATTTCGCTTTTGTGCTTCTTACCTTCATTTCTGCATGAACAATTTCATGAAATAAATTTATCCAACACTCCATATTCGGCTTATCTTCACCGTCTCACAAATGGGGTTAGCCTGAATATAATATACGGAGTTAAATGGAAGATTTATTTTCGCGGCGTTTTGGGTTGCTCGTACAAATTTGAGTCGGATTCCGGGCCACTGAAAATGTTATCTTTTGTCTAAACACACAGGTGCATCGAAGCACCAAAATCCTTATACACCACAAAAATCAACAAATTTGTGAGTATGCTGAGTTACACAACAAAAGCGGGTAGTTTTCTTAGTGGGAAAATTTTCGAACCATTAGCCAAAAAGTCTTATTCAAATGGCAATGTAGTGACACCAGGATATGAAGTTCCATGGCAGTCAGTGACCAATTATAGGTTCAAATGGCAGCTCGTCTACGTTTTGTAACTTTAAAGACTATTTTACTCAACCACTAAATGAAATAATTGATCACACAACAAAATCGTTATTTAATATCTTAGTATCTTGTCTACATAATTGTTGATGCAAGTTGGCCAAATCCAACAATCATTGTCTTATGGTCGTGCTACATGCCTATCGACTAAAAACTGAAGTTTTCACAAGCTCAGTAAAATTATTTAGTAAATCAGTTTTTTTTGAATTCATACTTCCACATAGAATCGTGCTCGAGTTTGATCCATTATCACTAAATTAATAGTGGAGCGTTGATGTGTGCATGAATTATCTAGTGCGTAACGAAAACTACCCTACGTAAACGCTATATGTAAATAAATAAAATTAGATGACTTAAGGCGTAAAAAAGGTGCAAATCAGTCGTTTCCAAGGATTTTTAAATTTTCTACATACATACTTTGCATTAAGGAGTTGTGTAAGTTGTTATGTTACACATTTGAAATCGTGAATCGATCAATGTTAGACCAGGACGAAACGGCTGTTCAGTGCTTCCAGGCTTCTAATGGTGGTCTAATATTGATAGATCCATGATTTCAAATGTATACTTTGGTTTTAAGACAGTAAGTTGAATGATGTTTACTCATTGTGTTTAAATGGTAACCACTAACGAAATAGTCATGTAACTTTGGTCAGTTAATTAATCTGATGATATCACTGTTGGTCTGAGGGTTTTTTTAACTAATAATATGCCATATTTACTGAAGAAAATATCGGGATAAACATGTCATTTGATGCATAAGCCATCACCTAACACAAATTTCGCAGGTCATTCACTGGCCAGTCAAAATATGACCCAACTATAAGATCTAATTGTTCCTACCACATCAAATTTGTTGCTTTATTTAAATTTAGAAACCGGGAAGGGATCCCAAGAGTTTAAATAGTGTTTTCGGAAGAAAATAAAAGGATAACATAAGAAAACATCATAGTATATTGAATTGGATATAACACATGTGTCTCTGAACCCCTGTAATACATTTGATGTATTTAACTAAGTTCTAAACTTTTATCTCTTACACTATTTCTGTTACTCAGTTTCATTTAATATTATATTTGTTTCAGCTTCCCATCTCTTACATCAACACATTTTACAGGATAAAACAAAGCACTATATAGTAAATGCAGTTTGGTATTCTGTCCTCAGATGGCTACTTGAAATTAATCAAATAAATTTATTAAAATTTAATTGCAATATACTAACGAAAGCCACGGTTCGGAAACGTTTGCCTGTTCTGAAATCGTCGTTTCAGTGAGAAGCTCACCACAAATTTAAAAGCAAAAATCTCTCTGAACGGATTTCATTGATTAATACCTGAAGGTATGTATGCTTAAAGAGTGACTACGTTTTATATTGTTGTATTACAGTCACTTGCAATGGATTACCGCGTTCTAAACAAAATCAAAAAAGAAAATCAAAAGGTTTCTGTCAGATTAACGTTGTATCTTATACTTTAGAAACCCGTACTTGTAATCAAAGATCGAAAAACTGTTCTATCGGCTTTGGATATTCAAAAATTGTTAGGTTTGACGATTTTTCCTCAGCACTTTGTTAAATGGCCCGAGTAAGTTGTTTATGCTTTGTTCATATCGTTTGTGTAGTTGGTGTTCAGTTATCAAGCCTTCAATGATTAAGAATATTGTTCTAATATTTGTTGACAGAGTAGATACTGTGAAATCGAATGAGAAATACGGGAAACAGTTTGCTTCTATATTTGGGGTGGTAAGTCTTTTAAAAAATCTACTTTTCTTCAGCCATTGAAAGTATTGAATCCAGAAGCTTACAAGTATACGTGGGACAGAGAAATTGCTACTGTTCCCAGAAGTTTCCTCACACCTCATTCAGCGACTATGGCAGGTATGTTTTCTACCTCACCACATATTTTTAAATCGATCAGAACCAGTGACACATAAGTGGATACCATTCGACTGCTCATTTAAACTTAATACGATTTATATTTTCCATCACCCATATGTCAAAATTTTCATGGTTATTCTTGTTTTTAAAATACCACTTGTGACAAAATATTGTTTGTCGTAATTAGGGCAAACAAACTGAGATGGTGATGGTACCTTGTTATAGTTGAACTTTATACTAGGAAAATTGATGATTTAGCTTTGTAAGTTTGGTTAAAAATCCTAAAATCTCGCAGATATTTGTAATTAAATAAAGCTCATCCGGGAAAATTTCAGGGTTATAATGTTTTTGATTCTAATATTTAATAATTTAAAATGTTTATGGCAAAATGTAAGAACCATCTCAACTCATTGGTATTGTTTGTTTGAATCTTTCCATTGATGTTCAAGACTGCATTTGATTAGTCCCTTTCGGTATATGTGCATTCAGGACAGATTACCTTGATGTTGCCATTAATTTACAAACATTATTAAATAGACAGAGATAGATAGCGGCTAGCAGTTTAATATAAGATAGGCATTTCTTCCTATTTGCAATTTGTCATCTGGATGTCAACTGTGTCCCAGTGTAGTGCCTCCACATATATTCGGGTTCGCCTACATTTAATTTGGTTAAGCTCTTTCGATTAATTTATTTAACCAAGCCATTTGTATAGCAACAATTTATGTGTACCATTCGTTCTTATTACTGTCTGGTTTGTATGAGCTCACGTGACTTCTTCCACTTGTCTTTTGACCTTGTCAACCATTCGTCGCTTTTATTCATGTGTATGCATGCCTATCTCGTTGGTCACATGTCTGTTTTATTTTTGTTTGACTATAAATTCTTAGTCATACTTTATCTCTGGGAATTGGCTCACTAGCCTTCTCCACATCGCTTCATCCGTTTATTCGCCTAATCACTCGCTTGCTTGCTTGCTTTCCGGCGCTCGCATGACGATTTTATCTTTTAGCGCTTGTAGTCTGCTGTTGTAGTGTCAAAAATAGACGTACTCAACACTTCGAGTTCACCTTCTGATTTATAAACCGTCAGACGCTAGTTAGTAACGATTGTCTGGACGAGCTAATCACAAAGATTTAGAACACGTCGAAATTGGCCATCACACCAGAATTAATGTTCACTCCATAACTCAAACCTAGTACTTAGCTCCAAATGGGACAAAACACACGTTCTGTATTTCACTTCTAGTCATCATCCATCGTATCTTATTTAATGAAAAAATTTAAACTAATTGTTCTTTCACTGACGCAGATAGTTTATATAGTCATTCAATAGTTTTCTGAATAATACTTTGTTAAATTTTGTTAACATTTTTGAATGCATTAATATCCATATATTCCTCTGGTTTTGCTTTGCCTGTGCTAAATCTAAGGTAACAGTTTATTACGAACTGGGAAAATCACGTTCAAGTAGCTATCATAACTTAGGTTTCTGTAAGATAAATCTATAATGTTCACTTCTTTACAACACACTAATAAACATGTAGGTTTGTTGTTATTGAACATTTTATAAGTTTGGCCATGGCAGTAGATCACTTAACAAATGTATACATGCAGTATAGGTAGGATCTTTTTAATGAGTATGTCTTGTTGAATGGTACAATAGCGTCCCGAAACTATCCCTTATGTCTAAATGTCATTTGTTTTAATCAATGAGGATTTATGTCGTAACGATAGAAGTGGGAGGAAAGTAGTTGTTTATGCTGTCTTGTGAAATAACGACAAATATAATACGTTAATATGGTACTTGATCAAACCTTGCCAGTTTTATTTCAAACATTTAAGTAGTCTTAGATTGTGTATTTATTAAAAAAAAATGGCTTAACTGGAATCTGCTATTTGTAGTTTGTAATAATGCAGTCTTTAAAAACCCTTTAGTCATAAAATGGATAGAATGTTGTTATAGATACTCAAACGATTTTCTGTAGCGTTAGACTTAATATTGTAGCAATCTACCATAATATTTAATACCAATATTCAGATTGCTTGATAGTACTGTGATAGTCGTAAACCTATTCACTTTGTGTGGTAATAACAAATTGACAAAAAGTAGTTGTCCGTTATTTCATAATTATAATCTAAGGGTAATCAAGCACACTCCAAAGTTAGTCAAAAGCTAAGTCGGGTCTCCTACTAGAGTGTTTAATTTAGAAACACTAATCGTTCTTCCCCGTTAATTTCCATGTAAATGAAGCGTTTTCATGAGAGCTATAAATATTCCAAGGGGGATACAACGTCGGGACATTCACCAACCTTGTACGTTGATGAAAACATCAAGCATGTATGGTCTTGTGTTTGTTGACGACTTTTGGTGAACTACATTGCAACAAAACATATAAAGTTGGAAAAATTATGGGAAACAATGAAACAGTCAAATTAAGGCTGAAAACAATGAAATCTGAACAGATATATTGCCGTAAACAAGAAGTGTGTTTTATATAGTTAACAAGTGATGTAACCTAGATTTTGTAAAATTATGTTTTTCATACACACGGTTTGCATGTTTATTAGACAAGCCACATGTATTTTCATCCTTTCTTGTAAACGGTTTAAATAATGATACTAGTTTTGCGCAAAACGATCCATGTTACAAATCGTTTAGTTCTCGTATACTAGCTGTTATCTAATAATCTTAGTAATTTGTGGTTTTCCTCTTCAATATAAACTCGTAATTTTCTGTGTTTCATTTTTTTGTTCTCTCTCTCTCTCTACCTGTGTAGACTTGAAGAAATCAATACTAACGCCAACTCCCCGTCGCACATGGGTAGATGATGAAAATGTTATTAATAAAATGCGTATCATTAAATCAATTCATGAAATAACTAAAGAACATTTACCTTCAGAGAATGTTACTCTTAATACTAACTCTACTAACGAACTATTAGAAAAACCGATTCGTAAAAGAAAAGCTGATACACTTTTTCCATTACCTGTACCAGGTACACCTGATGCATTCGATAGAACTCTATTGATTTTAAATCTGGAACAAATGAAGAAAGAAAAAGTTCCATTACCTAATGAATTAACAATTGACCAACGTAAACACTTTAAAAACCGTGCAGATTTTGTACCAAGTAAAGTAGGTTTATGTAGGAGAATATTTCTTTTGTTTTTATCTTTTCATTTGTATACACAGCAAAACATAGCTCGTCGCGGCAGTCGGTGGCTAGGCATACGTAACACATGTCCCAACCACCTCAACTGATGAAGTTTCACTACTTCATCTATTGATTTGCCATCCCTACCTAGAACTCGTTTCCTAACGACAGCATTGCTTATACGGTTGTCCCATGATACACGAGCAATGCTTCGGAGACATCGATGATCGAAGACTAGTAACCTACGGAAGTCCTCTACTCTTAACGGCCAAGTCTCGCATCCGTACAGTAGGACGGAGCGAACTGCTGCACAGTACACTCGTCCTTTGGTTAGCAAACGGATATCTCGCTTGCGCCATAACCGACACAAGTTGGCAAAAGCCAGTCGAGCCTTCTGTATCCGTGCTGAGATTTCGTCAGTCACCAGGCCATCGGCACTGATGAGACTCCCCAGATAAGTGAAGTGGTGTACACGTTCGACTACTTCACTCCCTATCACTAGTTCAGGTGCCGATGAAACCCAATCTTGAAGCAACAATGGCTAGTTTTTTTTTCTGTTGAAAACGTGTACACTTGTACACTGCATTTTTAGTAATTTTAGATTTTAATGGTTAGCAACGGGATCCAGAATCCGTCCTCTTTGGGATTTCCCAGTTAGATGTACTGGAATTCTAGTTTTGATATAAACACTAACTTTCGCTTCAAACACCCAGTGCGTTATTCACTGAGCTATTATATCCAGATGCTCAGAATGCATAAGAGCCTTTTCAAATACAGTCTGTAATATAAATAATTCATCGGATATCTTATATTTCTTTCTATAACGTCTAAATAACACTGAATTTATTGTGTAAACAGTTTGTGCTCAATAATCATAAAAGTTTTAGGTTTGTTCATTTGATGTTCGTTAAATATTCATTTATGGCTAATCAATACCACGCTTTCTCTTCAGCTTGTTAGCTTGGTATACTCGAACCTCAATATCTGTGGGTTGCGTTGACCAAACTTAGTTTGATTTCATGAAATTTAAGCAGATAACTGCCATAATAGACATTACTGCCTATAATCTTTCACATCAAATTGTACATACCAAAAGTGTGAATAAAACTGTGAGAAGTTTGATAGATAGGCTTACTCCTAACTAATCGTTCGTTTTCACTAAGTTGCTGTGTTCAAAACAGCCTGCTGGGAACCAGATATCCGCTTTTAAATCTGTATGATTTATCTTAGTTGAATGTTATTCTGTAACCAAGTATATATTTGTGTACTTGAATTTTCTGTGTAAGCACCAATGGTACTTTGAGATTGTGCAAGATGTATCAAGGGAAGTAGTATCAGTAATTGCTACTCGATACGTTGAACTTGAATACTCCAATTCCGCAAGTAAACTAAATTCAACCTATAGAGACAAGAATTTGAATGAGACGCTTTGTATTGAAAAGATTCTGTTCGCACCTGATTTAGGATTAACTGGATTATGAGTCATGCTAGTTGTATGGTATATTCAGTGGTTGAGAACAGTTAGCGGAAAGTAATGCTTATCGGCACTCGAAAATATAATGTATCTACCTTTTTAAGGAGATTGATATTCCCTATGATGTTCGAACCTACGTTATCTGTGAAACGAATACTAAGGTATCTGAACTAAATTTGACATAAAATTGAAGACTTTGCATCAATTGATTCAGAGCTTAGCAACCTATATTCGAACCCGGGACCTTTGGCATTGTAGGCGAACGCCTTACCATCGGACCACTGGGCCGGCATCCAATGGAGCAGGAGTCGTGGATGCGCACTGCTGATGAGTCCCATACCAGGACGAAACGGCCGTCCAGTGCTTCCAGGTTTCTAATGGTGGTCTAACAATGATTGATTGATGATTTCAAATGTGTAAAAACGCAAACCTCCAAAACTGTGCCCCGAAAAAAAAAATATATATATATATATACCAATAGTTTGTTCACCCATTGATTTGGTTCCCCAAGTCCAGCTTTCTTGTCATCTCTAAGTCTTCTCGCTTGCCTAGGTGGTTAAACAAGCGGATAAGAATCTTATATATTTTTTTTCTATCAAGCGATCTGAAATCCATCAGGTATTTGTTAAACCAAAAGTAGAATCATAAATGTACACACTGAAAAACAATCACCCATGCAATCAGTATACTAACGTTATTTTCTTGTAACTCTCTTATATTATTATTACTACAGTCTGTATATCTTCCTGTATCAGCCAACAGTCCAATGTTTGCAGTAGATTGTGAAATGGTTCTTACATCCGCGGGAAGTGAATTGGCTCGAGTGACTATGGTTGATGAGAAAGCAACAGTTATGTTCGATCGTTTAGTGAAACCACCAAATCCTGTCAAAGACTACTTAACTAGGTAAGGTTATACTTAAAAATACATATTTTTTTTTGTTCAAGACATCAACATATACCAAAAGAATTGTTTAACTATTGAACTAAGAATTTTAAAAAGTTGTATGTTTTGATATGTAAGATATTCTGAAAGTATTCTTAACTTATTCCCTTTTTATGCTCGAATTCTTGAAAAAAATTAAAATTCAGCTGTCACTTTCTCTACCACATTATCATCCACAAGCAGCTCAGATACATACAAACTTCTTGACTATTTTTTTTTTAGCTACCTATAACCAAACTACTAAGTGCATACATTGTCTACTGTCAGGCTTTTGGAGGTAATTGATACTAAGATATACGCTTCACTTACAAAAACTGGTCTTCAACTAATCAAGTGTAGTTTTGTTTGATACAAAAGGTTTTCACTCATATCATTATTTGATAACAGAACAACATAGCAGATGGGAAACCAGTCGGTTTCGTAGGTTTTTCTACCTTGTACATATATAATTTGAAAAAAAGCAGTTAAATAGAAAATCCCATGAACTCACACGTATAGTCTACATCACTTACTGACCTTAAATAAACTTTGGAAACTAGGAATCACTGGATGGTTGCTTCGTCCTAGTATATATGATTCTCCAGCGGTGCGCATACCGTTATTTCATTGGGTATCAAACCAAAAATTTCAGGTCTCTCTTCAAGCGCCCTACTTTTAGACCAGCGAGTTTCGTACTAAAAAAAGAAGCTGCCGTGTAGCGATCTTGGCTGTCAATAATTTTCAAACTTAGCTGACATCCGTGATGTGAACTATACATACAATCCAACAATCTTCACAAACTTTTAAAAACCATTTTTCAAAATTTCAGATTCAGTGGTATCACTAGAGAAATGCTTGCACTGATAGATACTACACTGGCAGATGTACAACGTGAACTAGCTGAAACATTACCAGGAGATGCTAGTCCTAGTAGGTCACTCGATAGGAAATGATTTAGAAGCTATGAAGGTAGGTGAACTCCTCTTTTTTTTTTAAGAAATAAATTGTAAATTGCTAGTTAACGTTCTTTTTATAAAGAAACAAACGTAGAATTATTTTAAACTAAATACTGTCATCCATTGTATATCCGTAAATCAATTGAAAATAAATGCACAAAACATGGGATCTTGTCTCTGTAGTTCAACCTTAATAACTCTCTGCAAACCTTTTGTCTTTCCTACTACTAACTTGTAGTTACGTAATCTAATTCATTGTTGTCATGGACTCACAAATTGCCTTGCTTGGTTTAAACATTTTCTTCACAGTTAAATTATCTATTGATGTCCAAAAAATATTTCTCATTAGTTTATATACTACTTTGAGTTAAAAGTCACTGAAATCTACTTTTCCGTACAAATTAATGTTAAACATTCTTCTGTCAGACATATATTATTTCACTAATTTACACGTAGTTGGCCCTTAATCACAATCCAAGTATGATGCCTAGTAGTGGTACTGCACGGTTATCAGAACCAAAATACCTGTAACAAGGTCCAAAGCTGCGACTTAGTGACTAAAATTCGAGTGTTCCAACCAACCTATCCACGTTGAATTGTCATCTTCTGCTTTATTCCTTTTGCAGTACGTCTCTTCTCGTTTTTTTCTTCATCCTCTTATTGGATAGAAAAAATCTGTGAATTCCAAATAAATTGCTTATTTAAATTCTTTTCGCTAAAAATGAATGTGTCTGTTTAATTGTCTTAATACTTTTAGGTTTTTCATCCATACGTAATTGATACAAGTGTCATTTATAATATGACAAGGCACTAGAGCGCTAAAGCACGTCTTCGTTTTCTATCAGAACATTTTCTTGGGTTAGTTCTAAAAATTTTTTTTGATTATTCTGTCCGTAAATACTAACTAACTCATGTATCTTTATTTTGGATATAATCTTTTTCAATGATCATCAGAAATTTTCATTTGACATAAAAACAGTGATTGTTGCAGAATCAGAACAAAATCATTTGTTTGTGTGTAGATTCCACTTAATCTAACGACTGGTATACATAATTTACCATCAGGTTATGGAAAAATTAATGGCGTCAAGCGTTGCTGAGTTTCCTAATGTCGGATGGCTCCCAGAAAGTCAAACGAAGCCTCCAGAGGCTTTAACGAATTCGAACAGATTCCACCCAAATCAGAGCTGTATAGAATTCCTTGAATATCTTCTACATTTTACTTGCGCTTTTTTACTTACACCTGTTACCTCTGCTGGAGCATACGCCACTGGACCAGCAATTTTCAACCCACTCTATCTGTGGCCTTATTTTCCAGTTCTAATTCAAATACTGTTCATTCTCCTCATGTCCTGTCTCCGTTTCTCGGCATAATGTGTTTTTTGGTCTTCCTCTTTTCCTTTGGTCTTGAGGATATCCAGTGAAGTCTTGCATTGTGACGCAGTTGGGTGCCTTTTAATGTGTGTTCTATCCATTTCCAGTGCTTCTTGCTGAAGTCTTCCTGCGCTAGGATCTGGTTTGTTCTCTCTTATGGTAGGTTGTTGCTGATGGCTTGCTGTTATTGGGTTATTGGATAAAGTTCTTGTTTTCAGATTGGGTGGATCATAAATATCCAGCCCATGTTTTTTCCGTACATTTCGACATTCAATGAAGTAAATACTTCATCTTTTTTCTTCTGCTATTTTGATTTGAAAATGGGAATTCTATACGTCCTAGTGCTGAATTTGTGTTCCTCACTAGCTGTATGTAGCAAATATAACACCTAGCTGGTATCACAACCTTAGATAACCATTAAAGTGATCCCTGGAATTCAACGGGAAACCGTAACCAATGAAGTTCGGCTGTGTCAGATGTGAAGCTTCTCCATACCAATAGTATTGAAAGAGGGCTCCACCATATCGCAAACCATTGGAGCTAGTCATGTAAGCCCTTCGATGCTGATTCAGTGGTCTTAAGATCTAGTGCTCGCGGTGAGATTTGAATATTTTTGGTTTCGATTCCCATTAAAGTTGTTTATACACAATGCCGTATAGCTTCGTGCTTGGACAGAACAGCAATTTAGTGTTTCATAGATTTTGTTGGTTACCTAACTGAAATGGAAAGAGTGAAATGAACTTTTTCTGTACATAATAAAAGTAGTTCTATTAGTAGTATTGACCGAATTCGAAAAAGAGATAAATTACTCCATATGTTGTCACAAAGAAAGCTAATAGTTTTGATTAGAGGTACATTGGTAAAAAGGCAGTTTGCATCAAAAGAATGCATCGTCTTTCTTTTAACATTGATATCATCAAGAACACCAATTAGTTTCGAATGTATCTCTCATGGCAAACTTACACAACAACTTATTTTGGATTGAGCTGAGTAATTTGGCTAACTTATAATTGCATTAGTCCGATCACTCCACTCAATGTATGTGTGTCCATACAAACATAGAGAAAACATACTACGCTGCTAAACCGATGATTATAATTGAAAATACTATTGAATACAAATATTATAAATATCTTCTATTACAAAGATGCATTATTGCGTAATAGAAGTAAGTAAATAAAATGTGTTTAGATTCATTAAACCACATAATTTAAAATCACTTCACTGACATCAATAATTATCTTCTAGACTAAGTTGAATCTGGGGCTGTGAATTTCCTCAAAACAGAATGTTGACTAATTATTGTAATCTTTGTACATAATATTATTTTGACCCGGTTCATATCTTCCTTTTAGTATTATGAATAAATTTAACTATTATTTGGTGATAAAACTAATGTAATATATATAACAATATAAAAAAATAGTCATCAATTTAAGTAATCTATTTGTGTGTGTATCATCATATAACACGCATTAAAATTCATAATTCTAGATAACTTTTTTTTTCTGAATTTGTAAAATCACTAGTAGGCAAGAGAAAAAGATGTGTGATGGTGTTTGGTTCTCTGAGTTGGATGTTTTGGTTGTGGAGCTTTCATTGTCCGTCAACACAAACTTTAGATAAAAGTGAAGCATTCGAATTTCTCCACGTTTGACCTGTAGCTTGTTCTGCTAACCTCGATCTTGATAGGTTACTGTTGACCTTAAACCTGTCGTTGTTTACACCTTTGTTGTTTTGATTGTGTCCCCCACTTTGATCTGTTTCTTGATCCTATGTTACCTATGATTTTCCTGATTAGTTGATAAATTGAGTCAGTGTCATTGTGTTTGTTGATTGCTGATTGACTTGACTGCATAACCAGAACACTACCACAATCATCCATTTGAGCTATAAATTTTTTCCACTATTTCATAATAGTGGAAGAAAATTTATAGCTCAAAAATGGATGATTGTGGTAGTGTTCGTGGTTATGCAGTCAGTCAATCAGCCAATCAAACAAAGCACAATGACCACTGGACTCAATTTATCACTAATCATGAAAATCATAGGTAACATAGGATCAGAGAAACAGAGCAAAGTAATCAAAACAACAAAGGTGTAAACAACGACAGGTTTAAGGTCAACAGTAACCTATCAAGATCGAGGTTAGCAGAACAAGCTACAGGTCAAACGTGGAGAAATTCGAATGCTTCACTTTTATCTAAAGTTTGTGTTGACGGACAATGAAAGCTCCACAACCAAAACATCCAACTCAGAGAACCAAACACCATCACACATCTTTTTCTCTTGCTTACTAATGATTTTACAAATACAGAAAAAAAAGTTATCTAGAATTATGAATTTTAATGCGTGTTATATGATGATACACACACAAATAGATTACTTAAATTGATGACTATTTTTTTATATTGTTATATATATACATTAGTTTTATCCACCAAATAATAGTTAAATTTATTCATAATACAAAAGGAAAGATATGAACCGGGTCAAAATAATATTATGTACAAAGATTACAATAATTAGTCAACATTCTGTTTGAGGAAATTCACAGCCCCAGATTCAACTTAGTCTAGAAGATAATGATTGATGTCAGTGAAGTGATTTTAAATTATGTGGTTTAATGAATCTAAACCCATTTTATTTACT